TGCAGAGCCCAGAACTGGACACAGCGCTCCAAGTGTGGCCTTACGAGTGGTGAGCACAGAGGAAGGAACACCTCCCTCAGCTTGCTGGCAATACTTTGCCTAATAAGGCCTAGGATACCATCTACCTTCTTTGCAGCAAGGTTACATGGCTGAGTCATGTAAAACCTGAGTGGAGATTGTAGAAATGTGCTGAAGTCCCCCACAAAAGGAGGAAATCAAGCTATTTTGAACACAGGTATTACTGAGTCATTCATTCAGCATGAGCTACAATAAGATTACAGGGACGATAGTAAGAACAGAAGAGACATAAGCAGTCCATATGTCAGTAAAAGCTTCAACAAGAATTCTAATAAACCAACAAGAAAAATTTTCTTTATGATGCATTACTTTTACACATCTCTGTGCATCCAGTACCCACTGTTAGCCACCTGCAGGAACACATGACAGACTTGTAATCACCCTGACGTACCCAGGGTGCACATCCCATTTGGACCCTGTCTTATACCCATTCTGTATTCAGGACTTTGGCAATACAAAGCATCACAGATTTATTCAGCCACAGAAAGTAAAACAAAACTTTAGTATGACTGAGTGGATCACTCTGTTTCATATATCCCATTTTATATTATATCTTGCATTAAATCTACATTAGATAAAACAGGTAAAAAGGCAAAGTATAATTTCTTTCTTAATTGTGTCATAACACTGAATCAAGGTGTGATGAATCCATGTCTTTCCAAACTGGACAAGATAACTAGAATCATCAGAAGTACAAGAATGTGCATCTCAGTTCCTTTATCACATCACCATTGTGAGTGCTCTGAATTTTTCATATAATTATAGGAAAGCCAGGCCAATGCCAGTAGTGTTCCCCTCAACACTTTAAAGTCATGACACATCACATGCGCAATTTTCACAGAAATGAATGAGTTGCCTAATTCTAGGAGGTATTTCAGGAAGTTTCCTATAAAAGTAGTTATGCATAAATAATCAGAAATTAAAAGCTGGAGTCTTCTTCACCATTCCTGTTACATGGGTCCTTCCATAGCAGGATGCTACTATGAATCTCACTCTGGGGCTGTAACAACTTCCATTTACTGTACAGACACTTTCTGATATATATATTTTTGGATTTATTCAGGAAGCCTGAGGAACTAGCCTTTACATCCTTCTGTGCCCTTTCAACTTCTACAGAGCCACTGAACTTAAAATAAATATTTAAATAAATTAGAGTACTCTTTGAAGCAGTAAAGGACTGGGGGAGGGGGTCCAGCATAGAGAGTGGGGAATGATGTGTGTAATGTAAGAGTACTCTGATACACCAGAAAAAAGACTGAGATCAATGGGAGTCATCCTGGCCACCTTCTGCTCCAGAGAAGGATCAATAGTATCTAAACCATTCCCAATGTATTGATTTTATCTGTTAAACATTAATTGAAAGAAACACAAAAAGCCATGTGGCCTTAGTTATGCTGCCATGAAAAACTCCAGAAGGGAAGAAGTAGACCCAATGCCTGAAATAATTCCTTCTTTTAACAAGCTGTTTTATAAATGCTTTCTAAGTCTCTCTGACATACCAATGTGATTCATTTACAGCTTTGAGGGTGTCATCAATTAAAAGGTTTCTTTCCACATTCCTTAAATTTACAGATATTTTCAGACAGATAACACTTTAAATGTCTTTAAGATTAACAGCAGATTCCAAACTCAAGTTCATTTACAAGTACCTCGTAAAATGTTCTAGACCACTGGATTGTAACTTTTTCTACTTCGCTCAATTTGTATATGAAAAGTTGAAATTACTGTTGAAGTTACCATAATGATCTGAAGCAGTAAGCTAGAATTAAATAAGTCATTGTTAGATTCACTAAATTTGGTGACAAATTGCACATTTGAGGGTCTTGACCTTACCTATTTGTAATGCAGGAATTCAAGAATACATTCCTTACTGGAATAAATCAGAGTAGTTCTCTTAGACCTGTCTCACAGAAGTATTTTACAAACTTTATTTAAGAATTTATAAGGTTTAAAATTTTCTCCACTATTGAAGTAATGTGAGGATCTTTAAAAAAAAAAAATAAAATATTAGATTCCAGATGACTTCCATCAATGCTTTCACTGTCACTATGTCACTTAGAGCACACACAGCCACAGAGTTGGCTGAGGAAGAGCAGCTGCAGACTGCCTCAACCCCTTGCTTGGCAGGTGGCACGAAATATTTACAGTAGATGTTTTCACTAAAAGACTGAAGATTCCTCATCCCTTCCTCTTATGAGCAAACTGAATCTCAGACATTCTCCCACAGACTAGTTCTCCTCCCATTCATAATTTGAGGCAAGAATAGCCCAACAAGGCTGCAGGTAATCTGATCTCTGGCAGCCCAATGCTAGAAGAAATGTTCCTTCTGCCATTAAAATATCTCTCTCCTTACTTTTTTTTAAACCCTCTCTATTTATGAAAAATTTATCTTCAATTAGGACAGCAGACCTAGACACAATGTTGCATTAGTATACAAACAAAAACTGATACATATGTACTAAAGCTTTCCTGGTTTTTTTTTATTTTTGGTTCCTCTATATCTTATAAAAAAGATGAGTGTTTTGGGGGGAAACAAAATAACAATAAAAAGCTTACAGTTGCTGGCTGAGTACTATGACTACCAAGTGCATCTCATAATCACTGTCACAACAGAGAGGTGCACCTCATACTTTGTTTCTAGCATGATGCACTTCACACTTACCTTCCTTACATATAATGAAAACAGAGTACTTTTGTACTTTTGATTGTGTAGTGACAGTAATCTGCATATTCTTCCTGGTTCTACCATTATCCATAAAAATCAATAATTTTCATTCAATTGCTACTACCAGGTCATGGGGGAAAAAGATAGAAATAAGAGGATCATCTAGGCATTTCTGAACACACATGCTGCTGGCCACTTCTGAGCATCTATTGTGTACCTGTTTTTAAGAACCATCCATTAACAAGTCAAATACCTTAAAGTATGTAAGTGTACTATATTGATAATATCATTTTAATCAACCAACTATGTAATTCTGCTCCCAAATATATTAGACTCCGTCTGTTTTCCTTAGGACTCTGATAAATGGTCTTCATTGTATTTCATTCCTTTAATTGCTAGTTAATTTCCTTATCCAGTTTCCAGACATAAAACCACTTTATTTGAGAACATTTATCTTAAGATTTCTATGTTTGAGAGCCTTTGTCTAAATTTTGTAATTGTGATTACAGAACATGAGTAGGAACCTTGAGGCAGCTGAAATCATCTGCCTTCAGTTTAAAAGTAACAAAGATATTTGTCCATTACTATATATTAATGCCTTTTTCTTATATATTTGGTAAATTATGTAAGAATGTAAGATGCACAATTCTTTAACAATATGATCAAGTTCACCAGGAAAAAAGCAGTAAGAGATCTGTTAAAGGAAGAGACACCTATGTGTTCTCTAAATGCCTGGGTTTTTTCCTTGAACAGTTTGTATTATGTCATAAACTTTGGCTGTTCTCTGCTTTACAAATCATTGTGCATGGAGATAGCTTGAAATAACACACAAAACCTAAGGGTTTTCATTGCCAGGGAATTCAATATTCCTGCCTGCAATACCTTGTCCCCATCATATTTGATCACTGTGGTCTTCAGAACCTGAGAAAAATACAGAATAGATAACTGGTTTCAGAGACTTATAGCAGAGACTAACATTTAAAACCCTAAAAATTTCAGCTGGGCTCACTGTTTGCATAGTGCAATGTCCCTTAGACCCCAGGAAAAGCTCCTAAACCCTTGCAACGTCTTTTAATCATCCACCTCTTGAATACTTTCTTGTAATAAATTTTCAGGCACTTTCCATTTCTTCTATCAGTTAAAATGACCAATGATAGAATTAGCGCAATATTGAGCAGACAATGTAGCAGCAATTCCCAGGATGCTCTAATATTTCAGCATCTTGTCACCATTTTGTCGATTTCAGAGAAATTGTGTGCAACTGATCTCTGTTAGTGTTGTATCCAGAATTTTAAAAACCTCACTGAGAGAATTTGTTATTCAAAGTGGCCTCAAAGAAATAAATTAATAGGATATATTGGTTAACTCAACACAAAAACATCACAGCCAGCGGGATATTAAACAACTGAGTTATTCTTGTCTGGACTCTGAGAACATCTTTGTCCCTATGCAGATACTAAGTTTTGCCTTGGTTTCTTATAAACAAGCTACATATCTAGAAATATGTCTTTCTTTACACTTTTGGTATTTGAGGGGGTTTCTACCTTAGTTTTTAATAATCATAGGAAAACCACATTCCCCTCTCCTTTCCTTTTTTGTGACCTAAATCTGTAAAAGATCCTCAAACCTGTGATATTTATTTCTTCTGAAAACATGAAGATAGAACTGAAGTTATGCTATTGTCAATTATTGAATGATCTTCTTCATGCTAACTTACAACTCATGCTAACTTTTAAAACATAAGAATCATCAACATTTTGCAAAGTTTCTTCTTACTGATGATTTTAAAAAAAGTTAAAGCATCTCCTTTTCCTTTGTGCATTTTTAAAAGTATTTAAAACTGCAGCAATTTTACTGATCCCTGGCCAAACATCTATATAAAAGAGCAAACCTCTGACTCCAACATAAAGATAGGTGGTCACATTTTGCATGTGACGATTATTTCCATATAGCATCATCACACCAGTTCTTCTGAGAGACTGATGAAGCTTCACTGGTTTGGATGCAAATGCATTATAACATACTAGTAATCAACAATTCCAGCTATCCCTGACTTTTAACAAAAACACAGCACAGCAGTGAAGGTGGTAAGCAGAAAGAGGGAGGCCCTTGTTCCTTGGCTCAATGCCACCATCATATCCCACGTAACAAGGCAAGAAAACATTTTGCTGGCAGAAACACTTGATGCAGGCTCCGGGCCAAGCCCGATGGCCGAGGAACAGCAGCAGCGCTGGGACACGGCCGCTTTCCATATGGATAGGCATGATCGGAGATGCAAGGGCCAAAAAGCCATCTTTCTACAGCAACCACAAAAACTGTGCAGGGAATCCATTACCATGCTCCTATGGCATATTTGTTTCCAAAGCCCCTCGGCTCCACCTGGCTCTTCCTGCCTTCCCCAGAGCCTCAGGCCCCGAGGGGACGGGTTGCGAAATTTTTTCCCGTACAAACACGCAAGAGGCAGGAAGAGCAAAGTCCTACAGAGGTGTGTGTGGGATCCCGACGGCTCCTGAGGCCGGCAGGGAGCCTTGCTCTACCCCGGCTTCGTCCAAAAAAGAGGACACAGGGAACACAGAGGGAGCACACCCCGTCAAACGAAACAACACCCGAGACTCGCCCCCCGCCGGTGCCGCCGCCTCTCCGCTTCCGCCGCGCCGCGGGCACTGCGCAGGCCCGAGGCCGCTGCCCGCATGGAGGAGGAGGAGGAGGATGAGGGCGGCGGAGACCGGGCGGCCACGGCGAGCCCGGCCGCGTCCGCCCGCTTCGTGCGGTGCCTCTACGTGGTGGGATTCCTGGTAAGCGGCGGCTACGGGGCGCGCGGCCTGCGGCGGCGGCCGCGCCAGGCACGGGAGTGGGCTCCTTGGCAGGCCACGGCTGCTGGTTCCGGGCGCGTCGCCCCCATCGCCGCAGCGCCCCTCGGCAGCGCCGGGGCTCGTAGCGCCGCTGGGCTGCGGCTGCTGGGCCGCTGTACCCGGGCAGACAACCGCGCAGTTCGACACACAGGTCGGATTTATATCCTGTGAATGCCATGGAATAGCGTAACCCCCGAAAAGCTGAGTCTTGCCTTGGTGCTTACAAGAGAGCTGCTTCCTGTTTCCTTGAAATACCCGTGGTTCCTGTAAATTTACCAAAAACCCTTAAAAATATGTTTCTCTAAAACATCAAAAAAAAAAAGTTCCTTGTTGAATGAACAGGCTTTTAAAAGTTCATATTCTGTAGTGACTCCTGAGCCTCAGGAAAGTGCCGTTTAATTAATTTGAAATTAAAAGCGACGACTTGGAAAATGAATACAAAATGAGTACGAGTTTGCGCTGTGAAATGTCAAGATAACTGTCTTACTTTTAGGCTGGGCAATTGAAACGACCCAGTTGGTTTGTGTCCTGGAGCAAATATCCCAGAGAACTTTGCTCCTTTTGACTGACTTTTAAACGCTGTGGTTCTCCAGCCCTGAAATGGCTTGTTGACAGTGAGCTGGAGCACACAAAAAAATCAACCAAGTGAGTGTCCTTGTAGAGGATGTGATGATGCAAACTTCCTGTAGCCTGACAAATAAATACAGCCTGTCACTCCACAGAAGGAATTTCACAGTGGAATAAGATGTAACTACCCGTCAAAGGATTGTAGTTAATGGGTCTTGCTCTACCTGCATGCCTGTGACAGTCCAGTACTGCCAGGGTGTAGTCTGATAATTGTACTTCTTAGTGTCTCCATTGATGACCTGGACGAGGTCACTGAACCTTTCTTCAGGTTCACAAATGACACCTAAGACTGTTATTACTGAAGATGTTTGAAAGTGGTGTGCATTGTTTGTTCATGCTAATGAATTAATTGATTCCAACCTTGTAAGCCTCAATTTCAACCATCAAAAAATAATTAGTGACAGACTGTGAGAATTTGCTTAGTGACACACATTGTTACAGTTAATCAGTCTTTGAGGTAGTCTAAGTTTTCAGTTCAAGCAGTCAGTGATGAAAGCTCCAAGGGACATTGGATGCTGTGCCAGATTCTAGTAGTACTGAAAGAACTACTGGGTCAAAGTGGTGAGCTTAACAAAAGGCAATAAAGCAAAAGGAACGAGTAGGAGATCCTTGTACTTCTCAGGATGGGAAGTGTCCTTTACCCTCCTCTTACAAAATGTTTTTCAATTATGCTTTTCCTTTATTATTTTTTTTCAAGTTTCTGCTTTGTCACATTTCTTAAGCTATACACAAAGGCAGTCTTTTAGTAGGTTTAGATCTATTGTAGCTTCTTTTCTGTCATAGTTGGGTGAAAATACCATTTTTCAAAATACACTTTTGTATATTGTTTTGTATACTTTTTGTTCTTTGCACAAATAAAAAGTATGTTTAGGTGATTGAAATAAGACCACTTTGAATTTAAAGCACTGATACAAAGTACTTTTCTTCTTAAACAGGTAGAGTTTAATATATTTAAAGGAATATTTAATGTTCAAATAAATATCTTCAGAAGGATTGTATCTAGAGTGGGGGAAGAGAATTGATATTTTAATAGGTTTAACGTCTCTCTGAGGCAATCCTTTATCTTTCAGTTTATGTGTTTTGAAATATGAAAAAAAATCTTTTAACCTTGTTTTGATGTGGAGATAATTTACATTTTCTTAATTTATTTTTCTAATGTTGACTGTTACTAAGCCAGGTTGCTATTGTCTTTGTGGAAGATACTAAAACTTTTCCTGACTTCTTTTCAGGATATATTTGGGGTGAGCATGGTGGTTCCTTTAATGAATCTTCATATCAAATCTCTAGGAGCAAGTCATACAGTTGCTGGAATCATAGGTGAGTTGCAATACTTGATTTATGAAAGAGTAAGATAAGGCCTGGATTTTGCCTTACTGCAAATTGGACATTGGAACACAATTCTTCCTTGCTAATAGCATAATAAAAAATAAAGACAATTTCCACATGAAACTATAAGGGCAGCCATACTGTGTTAGACCCAGAGACCTGTCCAAACTCTTGCACTGACAGTAGCCAAAAGCACATGCTTGGGAAAGAGCACAGTTGGAAAGAACAAGGACGTCTTGCAGTAGCATTTTTACAGCTACTTCCCAGCATCCAAGAATTCACAGGTTAGCAATTTGGATAGCCAGGGGTGTTGCTTGTAGTTTTATTGTTGTTTACACTTTGCAAATGGTACTTCTGCAGCTGGTTCTCCAAAGTTTTCCAGTGTCCATGACTCTGCCCAGTTTGATTAAAATCCTTACAGCTGTCTTGGCAAAATATTTATTCACATTAGGAGTGTTTACAAATAAATTCTCAAGATTTGGAATTTTATCTTAAAATATTTAGTGCTAAGGCAAGTTCTGTGGCTTTAAAGAACTTTTTATGGTATTGTTTATGGTTTGGAGTGATACAGTATTTTCTTCTTTCCCAGACACGGGAACTGTTATTCAGTTTTATTAATTTTCTTTCTTATTTAACACTTTGTATGAAATAATTCTTCTTCTACACTGAGCTGACTGTATTATTTTAAGGAGCAACTAGTCAGAAATATGTTTTAATTTCAACAGTCTGCTTTGATTTTTAACATTAGAAAAAAAATAGGTTTGAGGTGTATTCTTATACATGAAAGCATCTAGCAGATGTTTCTCTCTGTTTCTCTTTGCTCCTTCTCTTCTGTCACTAAATGCTGCTGAACTCCTAGCCTCCAAAATGAGAAAGTAGGGTCCATGTTTTCTTCTGGGCTTCTGTGATGCCTTGTAGTAGACTTAAGGACCAAGTAGAAAGTCGTTTTCAGTAGGGAAATTCTCTCCTGAGTCTGAGAAAGCAGATATAAATGCCAAGATTGGTTTTGTTTAATACACCATACAAAGCAACGTCATTTTAGCTTACATAGTTTTACAACTTTTCAGCACTTTTTTATTTTTTATTTTGTCATTCCCTGAAACTATTTCCTTTATTAAATGCTGAACTCCACCCTTGGTTTGTCCTGCTCCCTCTTCCCATTCTCCTAGTAAACTACTCCCCTGATTTCCAGTTTTTAATAATTTATAATTTTGTGCAGCTTTCATTAAAAAAAAAGCTTAATTTTTAACACTGGTATTTTGTTTGTTTTAGGATCTCTCTATGGTATAATGCAGCTATTTTCCAGCACGTTTGTGGTGAGTTCTGACACTGTATTCCAGAGCATATTGGTATTTCTATGGATTTTAGTGGGGGGGGGGGGGGGGAAGATGTGGTTAATAATAGTATTTCTTGACATTTTGAAAATGCTTAAAGTGTTCATACAATAACATTTTGCTTGGAGGAACCAATTTTCAGTTTGTATGAGAAATGGCAGGTTTTTTTTATGGGGAATTGCCAGGTTTTTCAGGCCCAAACAGAATATAGTTTTTAGACAAAAACTAGAATACAGATTTGGGCTCAGATACATTACTGAGCAGGTCACAGTTACACAGGGTTATCTCCTCTAGAGTTGGTGCTAGTAGAGCAGTTTCCTTCAGTGCAGTAGCCTATCCAGAAAGCAGTCTCATGACTCAGCTTTTCATAGACTGTGGTCTAGTTTGCTTTCCCTGCTTAATGAGCAGTGTCTTGTAATTCACCGTATGGTCTAAATTAATCGTTACATCTTCGCTATTTGTTAGGTTTTGTTTTCTATTAGCTATTGATTTTTTATATCCTAATATTACCCTGGTACTAGTTTTCTAGTTTTGAAGAGAAAAGATTATGAGAATGTCTCATAAGAGAACTGTTTCAGGGTTTGTTATGCAGGACACCTGGGATAATTTCCTTCTGTAGTTTTGCGGCATTTTCTTGGAAGTGCAAGACAGTTGTCTGCTTTTTTAAAAAGTATTTCCTCTTGTGAATCAAGCTGATTTAAAAGCATGATAAATGCAAGTTTTCTATTTGCCCTCTGCAAACTGCTTCTTGAGTCTGCACTCAGATGACAAACTCATTGCCAAGATCATTGCTTTTAAGATGTTCAACAAGTGTCTTAATACATAGCAGCCTGAGTGATGTAAGCAAATATTTGTGCTTGATTATGGTAAGATTTTCAGAAGGCTTCTACTGGCAATGTTTTGTGATATTTATTGCAGGACTGTCTCTTTATAAGGGTGATTTTTTTTTTTATTAGAAAGTTCTGTAAACACAACATTAAAAGGATTCATAATGTTGGCAGGTAGCCTGCCAGCAGGGCAGAGCTCTCCTTGTGACTTCAAATTTTGAGCACTTAAGAATGTTGTATAATAAACTTACTAGGCTTTCATTGACAGTCCTTTGATGTCTTGTCTCAATTGAATTTAGAAGCCCTTATTGATCGCTGCACATAGCTTAGTGTTATAAAAAGCTAATCTTTCTTTCCTGTTTTGTGATAGGGCTGCTGGAGTGATATAGTAGGAAGACGGTATTCCCTGCTTGCTTGTATTCTTCTAAGTGCACTGGGTTACTTCCTTCTTGGAAATTCCACCACGGTGTTCCTGTTTGCTATTTCTAGAGTCCCTGTAGGTGAGTAAACACTTGGCATTTTGCAATTTAAATTCCCTGTAGTCTCAGGTTGAGAATTACTACAGGAGAAATGGTATATGGATAGCCACATAGCATCATCACCCAGTAGCACCAACTGGACCTTAGTATTGGAAAAGCCTCTACAAATCAAGAATTCTCATTATTCTTTTTCCCTGAAAATAATTTGAAATGTTGAGGCCTAACCCGCCAGGCATCTAAACCCCACAAAGGTGCTTACTCCAGCACTGAAGAATTTGTGATTAATGGAATTTTAACAATACAAATCATACAAATTCAGACCATTGTTACTTGAGATAGATTCTGTTTTTTTTTTTTTTTTTTTTTTTTTTTTTTGGACCGAAAGATACATGTTTCTTGATTTGTTTATATTTTGTTGCAGGTATTTTCAAACACACACTTTCCATCTCTAAAGCCCTGCTGTCTGACCTGGTTTCAGAGAGGGATCGCCCTTTAGTAATGGGGCGCTTCAATGCAGCCTCCAGTGTGGGCTTCATTCTGGGACCTGTTGTTGGTGGCTACCTTGCAGAGTTCAAAGGTGGCTTTTACCAAACATCCTTCGTCTGTGCCTCTATCTTCCTTCTGAATGGTGGTAAGTTGTATGTCACATTTTGCATCTTGGGTCCCTTCATTCCTCATTTTGTCCTTTTAAGCCATTTGTAATATCTTGAGTTTACAGTGTGTTTATCGTCTATGGCATAATCATTCTGTATGCCAATACTACTGTTTGAATTTGAACTTGTGTGGAAGGGTGGAATTTTGAAACAGTTATCCTCCAGGTGCTTTTCCTTTGTTCTGCCTATGTCTCCTTTACATTCAGACACAAATGTGAGTTTTTGATGTGCCCAAGATGAAGACTAGAAATTAGAATTTTGGTTTTAGCCATTAGATTTGTTTCTATCATGTGAGTGTGGCATTTCAGTGCTTTCCTTTCTTGCTTTCACTGCATATAAAATTGAACCAATACCATGAATAACTTAATAGTTGCAATAGACTTAATAGTTGCAATTTTTTTAAGGACAAGTATTGCTGAAGTATTTTTTAAATTGTTACAATCAAACTAATGTCTTCCATGTAAAGTTGATGCAATTGAATGAAATCAACTAATTTCTTCATCTATACAGGTCTTGTCTGGTTGTTACCCTCGAGTGAAGAAAACTCTAGCAATAGGGACCATTACCAAGACAAAGAAACAAACAGTTTCTCAGCAAAATCAAATCATGACCATCACTTGAAATCAGCAACTAGTAGAGCCGTGACAAGCAGTAGTTTTTTCCAGTCTCCATGGATCCAAGTTGCAACAGTGCTGAAGAAAATTAAAGGAATTGCATGCTCTAATTTGTGGGATGTGTTTTTAGTGCGGTTCCTGATGTCTGTTGCTATCCTGCTGTACTATAGTAACTTTACTCTGGCCTTGGAGGAGAGATTTGGGGTGAAACGCTTGTTTGCTGGATACCTACTGAGCTATAGCAGTGCGCTTGGAGTCCTGGCTGGTTGTCTGCTCGGACCAATAACAAGACTCTATCGGCACAACACTTACAGGCTTTTGTTGCACTCCAGCACTGTTACCTGCACGTTGATTCTCCTGTACGTGTCAGCACCCAGCATATGGATGGTCATTTTGTCCTCCACGTTCTTGGCCTTCTCCACTACTATAGGCCGTACCTGTATCATTGATCTGGAACTGACCATTGGTGGGAACGAGGCCAGCGGGACTCTCCTGGGTGTTGGACAGTCGGTGACATCAGTGGGACGTATTATTGCCCCACTCCTTTCTGGAATCGCTCAGGAGTTCAGTCCTTGTGGCCCTCCAAGTCTAGCCGTGGGACTAGCATTATTTGCTATTGTGATAATGAATGCAAACAAACAAAAATACTGTAGTCATGGAAGTGTGAAGTTAAAAAATCAGTAGTCACAACTTTGGATTGCACAGATGTATCTTCACCTGCCAGGCTTGTAAAGTAATTACATGATTTTTAAAGAAAGCACGTTATGTTCTGCAGGGATGTTAAGTGTAGACAGATGTTATTCTAACAGGTAACACCAGGACATTTCTAAGAGGGGCAGATGTTGCTGTATTGTGCTGACTGTGATTTTTTAAATGGGATTTTTAACCTTTTTCGAGGGGAAAAAAGAATGTTGGGAAACGCACAAATCCTGCTTGTAGTTCATTTTTGAAACAGTGTTTAGGTTGTTTAAAAATGGTGAATCAAAAGTGAATTTTTGTTATTTAATCAGAAGGACAATTTGCAATATGTTTGGCCTTAATTTCTTATTTTGTGGTCTGTGTCCTTTTCTCTGTTACGACAGTAGCTTATATAACAGGATATTTGCTTATGTGATTTTTTGTGTAAACAGAAAACTTTCTGTGAACCATGGTTAGGCACTTCAGGGTAATCATGCAACCCCTGTTGACTCCTGGTCTTTCCCAAGTAAGAGAATTGGGTATACACTAACTTCATGTACTAGAAGACCTAATCTTAGAATAATACAAGGCCATTCAGACCCAAACTGAGGCTGAACTTAAGTTTTATTGAAATTTGAACTGGTGGCTTCTGTTTAGTTATAACTCCTACTGAGGAACTTTGTCATAATTTCTTTATTTTTATTTCCTGTGCAATTTTTCTACCTTTATTTAAACAATTTCCTTCTTAATTTCCTTCTTAATTCTCTCAAATGACTAAAGGTGTGAGCATCTAGCAGTAGTTCATGGATCTGGATTAATGCATCCTGTCTCATTTCAGTCATAAGTGACATTTCAGTAACAAGAGAAAACGGTTTTCTTCGTTTTTCAGTCCTCATTTGTGTGCATGGCATGAGAAAGGTTACTCTCAGAGCTGTACAGAGTTGTAGCACTCCTGTGCTATTTACTGTTCAAGCTCATTACTTTCCAGTCACCATTGTATTTCATATGAAACATGGAAAAAATGTATTTTGCTTGGATAATGTTCTCTATGATCTCCATTATATTACTTGATGAAAGTAAAAACTCAACTACGTAAGTGTTTGGTTAGGGGGTTTTTATGCAATTGAGTTCTCTCCTTGAACACATCAGTGCAAACACTCTTTCTGCTTCAGGTCAATCATGGATAATGCTTGTATTTTTTATTTTCATTTTCTTCTTTACCTTTTCCCCTGCTGCTAGCATTCAAATATTTTCTGAAACCCCATTGATTCCAGTGGCAGCACCATAGGAATTAATATATGCAACTCTGAATTGTTTTATTTATTGACATAATCAGTGTCTTATTCCTACTGTTATTTCATATACATATACTCATTTCCTATTACATATACTCAGAGTTCCTTATTACAGTAATACGTGTTTCATTTCTCCCTAGGAACTTGAGGCATTTTCAAGTCTCTTATCTTCTCTTGCCTTTCTTGGTAGGTGCCCAAAACATTATTGCTCTACATTTCCTATTTTGTTTCTTTCCATCGTTTAATTTTCTTTTTTTTTTTTCTTTACCTTTACCTCCCTTCTGTAAGTAAGAGCATTCTGTTTTACGTCTCTAGCAAGGGGTTAAGGAAAAGAGTTGAAAAAATTCTTCAAAAATTCATATATATGAATGATTTAGTAATGTTTCCAATACTCGTTGATCATATGACATAACATCTAACCTTCTAAATTGCTGCACTGATTTAATTTGACTTCTGTGTACATCTGTCCTAATACATATCCTACTGAATATAGGTTATAGAAGCCTCAAGTTGAGAAATCTGTGGAAGCCTGTGGGTCTCAGGGACTCGTTGCAGCACATTTTACAGAAGTTTTTTACTTGCAGGCCAAAATTATTCCTGAAGTGCCAAAGAAACATTTCTTTTCTGTACAGGTACAGAGGAATTGCACTGTATTATTTTTTTCTTTAAGGACTAGAAATAAAATGAAGTAACATTCCATATGTATCATTATGTCACTGTGGTTTTTTCCCCCATCTTCCTCTGCTAAAGCTACAGCACAAAATAGAAGTGCTCAAGTCAATGTGAAATGTGGATGCTTTATTTTTTTTTTACCTCAAGCTCTGGTTAAAATAATTTGAATCTGTCTACATTTCTCATAAAGGGCACAGGAACCAAGGATTAAACCAATAAGTGGCTTGGCAGTAATGAAAAATAAGAAATAAAATAGAGAACTCTGCAGTTTTGAGATGAAGGTCTTAAAGCTACTGTTCCTTGTGCCTGGAGAACACATTTGCACCTTTTGTGTTGCCTCTAAGTTGCCATAACCATGCAGGTTCAGAGAGTGGAGATTCTATGACATTCCTGCAGAAACAGAAATGTGATTCCCCATTTTAAGTTGAGGAAGGAGCAGTTGCAGCTAATTTTGACTCCAGTCTAGTGGGCAAACTACTGAATTACTCAGCTGTTTCTTGAATCCAGTTGTACTATATTCTGTAGGAGACTCTAACAAACCAGATCTGAATATGGACTAAAGGAAAACAGTTTCTGCCAGCAAACCACTGCAAATTACGATTTTTCTCTTGCTTGCTGTTACTTTATTTTGTGTGAGCTTTCTTAGGCTTGTAGGAAGGGTTGGGTTTTGGTTTGGTTTCTTGGGTTTTTTTGGTCTTTGCCCTTCCCCAAAATACATACTGATTTTGTTGCCTTTAAATAACGAAGCAATGGTAAGATTTTTTTTTTTCCCTGTTGGGGTAGGCTGTGTACTTCAGAGATCCTTAAAAGTGATCCTTTTTAAACATATCAGTTGTGGTGGGGGTTGACCCTGGCTGGACACCAGGTACCCACCAAAGCCACTCCCCTCTGGAACTGGAACGGGACAGGGAAGAGGAGAGAAAATATAACAAAAGACTTGTGAGTTAAGGTCAGGGAGAGCTAACTCACTGATTACTGTCATGAGAAAATTAGACTCAATTTGGGGAGATATAATTTAATTTATTACCAATCAAAATCAGAGCAGGATAATGAGAAGTAAAATAAATAATAAAAACACCTTCCTGCCACTCCTCCCTCCTTCCTAATCTCTACTCTACTTCCTCCCCTGCTGCAGCACAGGGAGACAAGGAGTGGTGAGATGGTCAGTTCATCACACATTGCTTCTGATGCTGCTCAGAGAAGAGTCCTTTCCCTGCTCCAGCATGGTGTCCCTCCCACAGGAGATAGTCCTCCACAGACTTCTACAATGTGAGTCCTTCCCACAGGCTAAAGTTCTTCACTAACCACTCCAGCGTGGGTGCCTTTACCACAGGGTGCAGTCCTTCAGGAACGCTCTGCTCCAGTGCAAGTCCCCCAAGTTTGCTGGCACAAGTCCTGCTAGCAAACCTGCTCTGCTGTGGGCTCTTCTCTCCATGGATCCACAGGTCCTGCCAGAAGCCTGCTCCCCTGTGGGCTTCCCAAGAGGTCACAGCCTCTTTTGGGTATCCACCTGCTGTGACATGGGTGTCCTTCCTAGGCTGCAGGTGGTATCTGCTCCCTGTGGTCCTCCATGAGCTGCAGGGGCACAGGTGCCTTACCGTGTTCTTCAGCATAGGCTGCAGGGGAACCTCTGCTCCAGAGCCTGGAGCACTTCTTCCCCTCGGTTGTTTCTGTCACTCCTCTCTTCTCTGGCCACAACTGCTTCTACAAAATAACATCTTTTTTTCTTTTTTAATATGTTATTAGACATTCATTGCCTTGGCCTTGGCCAGTGGTGGGTCTGCCTTGGAGCCAGCTGGCATGGGCTCAGTAGACAAAGGGAAAGCTTTTGGCAGCCTCTCAGAGAAGCCACCACTATATCACCCCGCTACCAAAACCTTGCCATAAAAACCCAGTACACCACTTCTGCAGTCTTCCATTTTTTGGAATTTTCTTTCTTCTGAATTTACTCATTGCAGCACCATCACAGAGGTCAGTATCATTCTCATCTTCTGAGAACAAGTTGATTATTGAGCAGATAATGAAGCAACAAAATAGGAGTAGCACTGTTTATGACCTGGCTTGCTCATTACTTCAGGTTCCATGTAGTGCCATTACATTTTTGCTGCTGGGAACCTCTGTGGGTGCTGCCAGTGCCAATCTGGTTATGGGTATTGCAGGATACTCTTGGGCAAATGATCCAGGCTATAAAGCCTGGTACTTTGGCATTTGACAATCCAAGACTTGCCTGTGCTGTTATTGCTATAATCTTGAACACTAATTCATAAAGAGCTGATCATGAATCTTGTAAGAGCGTACTGGAGCCTGAACTTTGAGAATTAAATGATTGTGAATGGAGGTCAGACTGCTTTTAGAAATGAAAGAATATACAGCTTATTTTAAAGGGAAGTCTTGAAAACTTCCTGTTTAACTTACAAAGAGAAATTAATTCAAATTTTTAATAATTTTAAATCTCAGCACCAAGGAACTATTTTTTGAGATGTGCTACACAGTAAGAACCAGTCTTCCATTCTGTCAAACATCTAATAAATAGGAGGTCTCAGAGAGGAAAAATGAAGTATTTAAAATTTATTTTTATTTTTGGAAAAAGGCAGATTTTTGTGGCAAAAAATGACTTTTTTAAACAAAACCTGTGGCAATTAGGGTGCTATATTTATGCACATTAACAAGAATATTTTTACTGAACCAGAGCTCTTGTGGTACAAAAAGCATTGCAGCATCCAATTTAAAAATCTTTCATCTTTTCTTCAGGGGCTGGGGGATGTTGACAGAACTTGGACAGTTTTGGAAATGGCAACCAGCTAAAGCATTTCTTGGAGCTGCAGCTGCTGTCTGGAATTGGTAGACTTGGCAGATCTTGAAAAAGTTGGTGCAGGGTGCAGTGTGTTTGCTTCCAGAGAGCCCAAGATACCCTTCATAACAGCAGGCATGTTATTTTGGCAAAAAATTTAACTTTGTTTTTTCCTGTGATTTCTATGTGGCTTTAGTACAGAAGGATATTCTCTAATTTTTAAATTGTTATGAAGCAAGGTTTTCTTTTGTTGAACTGGTTTCAGTGGAATTTGCATTATACTTTAGAACAAGTAGGACAGCCCTTAAAATTTTAGCTCTTTCAGCAAATTATTCTTTGGGTTTTTTTCAAGTATCTGCCTAAAAAGGTAACTGGGCATCTTTCTCCTCTAGGCCTTGTTATACCTACTTTCTTATCCTATTTTAATTTATAGGCCTCTCAGGAGCTGAAGGGGAAATCCTGAAAACCCTAATTCAGAGTGGAACTGTGTTTTCCCACTGAAAACTGGACTTTCTTCATCAAAAATGCATTAAAATGTCTATACTGCAGAGAGTCCATCTGGAAACAAAATATTTGTATGTGGCTTTGGCAAGTTTCCCAGTCGCTCCTGAAGATGTGGTTTCCTTGAAAAAGCAAGAAATGTTGTCCTCAGTCAATACATGACTTTCCCCATCAGATGGTGCTCGAGGACAGATTTATTGTGCAGCTCATTCTCCAGCAGACAAACGGATACAATTGATACAATACGAAGGATGTCTCCTCTGCAGGCTAAAAAAACGTGCTCACGGGATTTTCCTCTGCAGGAAAGAAAGAAAGAAAGAAGGGAAAAAAAAAAAAAAAAAAAAAAAAAAAAGGCAGTCCCGAACCAGAGTAAGAGTGGAATGACAAGGGTTGACTGGAACAACGCCTGTGCCACCTGCTGCTGTCATTGCCACTGGAAAGGAGAGCACGCAGAAACCAATTCCCAGACATGGCAAGGGTCTGATTCAGCAGTAGTGGAAAAGAGCCGGAAAAGGATGGGAAGAGCAGAATTGGAAGGCAGAGGGTAACTCACAAAGACACAGAGCCCCAGAAGATTTGCAATTCTACTTTACAGTGTGACCATGCTGGAGATGTGCCTTGATGCTTGCATTCTGTGGATTTCAAGTGCTTTGGAAAGGTACAAACATGCTATCATGTTTTGAAGCACTAAGAGCTTAAGACCATATTTCATAAAAAATGACCTTCAATTTGATGTGCTTGCACTATGGGGCACCACTTCAAGCACAAATAATGTGAGCGTGCCCTGCATTAATGGGCAACCAGCATAGCAGTTAGGTTCCTGAAACCTGCATTCATTATTTAAAATTGTGCCATATAAAATAACAACTGTTGGGGGAAAAAAATGAAAGGCAGCTCTCCCCAGACAGAAGCCAAGTGCTTGGTCATTACCAGCGTACAAACTGAGAGTAAACTAAATGTTGATGTGCAACATTTCACATTTATTGATTTGGTCAGTTTTCAGATTGGCCTGATATAAAACAGATAATTTATACAATCTGATCTGTAAGGAGGATGTTGTCTCAAAACTGAAATCAAAAATCAAGGCTTTTTTTCCTATTCAAACATGATCCAAATAATGCAGTGACATAGCATTCCCTGACAATTTTACAGATTAAAGTACTTTCCTGTTGAAAGATAAATTTAAATTTGTTTTTAAAACTTGCTGGCTTTGCTTGAACCCAAGTTTATTTCCAAACAGGAGATGATCATTAGAGGACAGCTAAGTATTGATTTCACAATAATCATTTGTTGAGAATAGCCATGAACATTTGACTGAGGATTATAGGGTTCACAGAGCCATTCCTCTGCAGCTTTGTATTTGCCACACAGCAGAATTTTCCATAGTTTGAACAGAGGGAAAAGACTAAATGACCTAAGGAAAGAGTTTGGGAAGGTTTGATATTTCAAATACATACATGAAATAAGTATTTTGGAAATGCTGTCAGAAGGAAAGTCTTACATCCCCATTTATCAACCCCCACCCATGAACATTTGAAAGAAATCTACTTTGTGGTTTTAAAGGAAAATGTGATTTTTAATAGTTCTTTCAAAACAAGCTTAAATAAAAAAATTAATCTTATTGCCCACAGATTTAGAAATGTGCTAATGAAAGAAAAAAGTTATGATTTCACAGTGTACATTCTTCAATGAAAGTTATCAATTTTGTAACAAGTAGAAAGAAAATTATTTCTGCATTGTACTGAAATGTGTATCTGTGCTAAAGCAAGCTCAGTACTTAGATTAAGTGGGACAGAAAGTGCAAATTCCTGAGAGCTACAGTTAAGTATAATTTATTTTAATGCTTCCCATATGCCCTCAAATGGTAGCCATTGATTCTAGGATCTAGAAGTCTATGTTATTAAGGTGCACAGTGACTTCATCTGATTCCAGGGCCCAACTGTGCTACTTTTCTGTAAAAACAAATTAGATGGAACATTTTTGTTCCTTGGAGTGCATAGCTCAGACAAAGAAAAGATTACCTTTCCCCTCTTACAGATGAGGAAACAAAAAGTAAAACAAATTAACCAGGGTCACAAGCATGAGTTTTCTTGAGCCTCAGTGGTCCCTGACTCAAACAGGAGACTGCTCGCTTTGTCTACGTGCAGTGCTCTACAACTATTCTACTGCTTTGTTTGCATTACATTGCAACCAAATAACTAAGGTGCAAAAAAGCAATTTTGATTCAAAACATGATTTATCCACTTGAAGTTTTCTGGTTTTAGGCCTTCTGGTGTCCTGTTAAGTGCTCTCAGTTCTTGCTGACATAAGTGAAAGCCAAGGTAATTCAGTTTTCCTTTGGTGATCCTTAGTACCTTTCAAAGGTAACATATTGCCAAAAATTCAAAAAGTAAGAATTCAAGCTATTCAGGTCTTTGTTGCAAGTTCTTTTTATAAGCCTTATTTGCAACTCTCCTACAGCTTATTTCTTCTCTTCTTCCTCTTCTTCTGCATCAGAGGTCTTTAAGCAAACTAGGCTTCAGGAATATATTTATTCTTCTTTAGAAGTCTATATGATAGGTGCATTGTGCATTTTTCAGTGGTATTCATGTTGAAGCTCTGGTTAAAACAAGTATTATTGATTACAAATAAAATCTGAAATGATACACAAGTTTGGGGATATTTTTTAAGAATCTATTCATCACTGGACTTTCAACAATGACTTCAATGGAAAATTGTGTATTGAACCTTCGTGACTTGGTTCCATGAGAGATGATGTGATAAGGCACATTTCCATACTATTTTAACAGTGGAAATAATGTAATTAAATTAAAGCATTGCCATAAGTTATTTGTAAAAGATATATATATATATATATATTGTATCTTTAATTTTGCAATTGCTGCAGTATTCCTTTCACTTAGTTAATTTCCATTTGACTTAAATGGAAGTGGTTAGACCCAGATTGAGGCTTGTTTTGTTATTTTAATGGATCCCATAGTCTGATCAGATCATTTAGAATCCTAATTCAATATGTCCATGGTTTATTATCAATAGTTCTCCTTTGGCTATGTTCAGTACAGCTGGTTCTCAGGCTTATTTCTCTGCCTGTCCCCTTGCGATGCCTGCCTAACTAACCGTGGTGGTGGCATAGGTCTTGCTGACCCGTGGTCTGCAGTCAGATCTTCCCTGCTCAAAGTGCCAAATCTTGGTCTCGTCAGCAGTGGCTGCCTGAACCCAATGGATGGCTGAGGCAAGGTGCTTGGGTCCTGCTGCTCTCCCCGTCCGTCCTGGCTCCCGTCAACTTCGTTCTTCCACTCCACCCTAAACTCAGGTAGTGGCCTCTGTTGTCTCAGTCTCTGGTCTCTCAAGATTTTCCCTGCTCTGGGCCTTAGATTGAGCACTGTGGTAGCAGCATCCAACTCAGAGTCACTGCTGTCACCCACTGTTAATTGAAAACAAAAGTATAGTTTTAGGTGTAGAATATAACTGTTTCAGGAATATTTGTGTAACAGCACACTGAGCCCTTGCAGCCATAGAATAAAGTTTCCCCATGTTTTTCTATATCCAGTGATTTCTGATTAGACCCAGTAAAAGCCTTTTAACTCTGCCAAAATAGGGGATAAATCTGACTTAAAAACAACCCTACCCTCAAAAGTGAGATTTTTAGAAAGGCCTCACACAGCTGCTTCTTGATTGCCAAGTGCTCCCTTGATTGAAGTGACATTTCCCCAGTTCTGGGAAATTTCCAATTCTCTGGACAGGAAAAAACTGCCTCTCTCTGAACTTAGGGTCTAGTTCCTGCTTACATCCAAGCAGAATACCAAAATTCGATTTCTCAGCCCCACATCTCATGAAATCTAAACTGAGAGGCATTTCCAGAGCACAACATGTAGAGGGGCTATAGAAACTTGACTTTGGAAAAGGAGCATTAACACTCTTACCAGGCAAAGGATCTCTCAAGGTCAGTGTACAGATAGGTGGAAATATCCCATCCTCAATAAGGCTGAATGTAACATGAAACAGAATCAACAGGGCAAATCTTATAGGTTGCAAGTGCTGCAGACTCTTCCACTCACAGCAGGGTAGAATATGCTCTAGGGAAACCTGGCATAATTGTTTAGGGAATGCCCTTAAATGATCATTGCCAGGTAAACCAAGCTGGAGATTGTCTGGATGTGCACATGTGCATGTATTTTTCCCCAGCAGACTTCTTTAAAAAGAATTAATATCTTCAGCAAAACTTGCACACTTTAGTCATTTGGTCACTATTTTAACAATAGTTTATGAATGCGTCAGATCTGTTCTTAGACTTAAATCATATATGATGTTTTAAATATATCAGAATAAACAATTTTTATTGTTTATTTGCAACTGTGCAATTGTGCAACTGTCATAAGAACAAATTAGATTAGTAATCATGTTATTTCTTTTAAAAAGGTAAGGAAAGGGTCAACAAAACATATCACCATGTAATTGTCCATTCACCCAGATAATTATATATCAAGGGAGGTCTTCATCAGACTGTGTTTTCAGGCTTTTTCCTTTCTAAATATGTCAAATAATATATTTTTTGACAATTGAATAATCTGGAGGCATATTTTCTCTTTAATTCTAGGTGACAGTAGGTGACCTCTGCAGACTAACTACAGAATAAAAGGCATCCTATGTCAGGAGAGCAAAGATATCATTATTAACAGACAAGAACACAGTCTATTGTTAAATTAATTTGGAATAGTGGAAAACTAACTGGGGGTGGAGATCAGGAAATTTTAGCAACTCTGCACACATTTCTTCTTCCCAGCAAGAGATCCTTATGACAACTTGTCATGAAAGAAAATGCTCCTGAGTATGATATAAGCACTGTAATGAAACCAGGAACAATCAAAAGTAATATATAGAATTGGGCAAAGTTTTCACATCAAATATTTGTGCTCCAACAGATTTTAAATTTATTTTTGTTAGAACTCAAGAACTACAATATAAAACATTTGTGAGTTTAGGCAGGGATTTGGTTGTAAACCACAGCATTTTCAGTTCTTCCTGAGAACAAAAAACTAGGTCTAATGTCCTCATTAGCCTCTCTGGTTCAGAGCAGTGTCCTCTAGCCTGATCCCAGAGGAAAAAGAACCAAACAGGCTCATAATCCAGGAAGGCTATCTGGATTATGGAATAAAGATGAGGAGAATGAGCCATGGCAGTGTTCCTGGTGCAAAAGGGCAGCAGGCAGCTGCTTGCTGACATGAGAAGATGTGCTGGGCAGGCTATGCCAGTATGGGATAGGAAGTGAGAAAGCCCCACAAAGCCCTGCTGTTGAGGGCATTTCTCTACATTCAAATTTCTGCTTTAAGTCACACTGCTTTAAATGCTCTAATTTGTTTATTTCTCTACATCATCCATGGAAAAACATTCCTTCTATGTAAGAAAAATGACTGCAGCACAGTAAGAGAAAAACAGAAAAATTTCATTACCTCTGGAAGATGTTTTATTTCTCACTCGTAGTTTCTCCGGGAGTTTAGTGTTTTTAGGAAGTGAAAGGAATCTTTTTGTATTTGCTGCAGCCTGCATGAAAAGAAAACAAAAACATTTTAAGTCACTGCAGCCTAGTGTACCTGCATAATGCATGTTAAGATACACAACTGAAGCTTGAACAGGTTTCTGTAGCTAAAGGGCTGGAGAGTAGTTTTGGATTAGCTAATATGTGATCTTTTACTACACACTCAGCACTGATTGCTGGCTGAAGTCTGTGCTAACTAAGGTAAAGACTGAGTAATCTCAAACAGTTTAATCAAATAAAAGCCTAGTGATACGCCCTCTGGGATCAGAGTTAATAAATGCATGGTCTCTAACCTCAAACTTACCTGCACAGGCTTTCCTAAGGAAGGCAAATGCCACAAGCATGGCACTTCATGCAGCTTAAAACTTGTTTAAACTTTTTATTAGTCAGCTGCAAAAATCTGGGTGAGACTGAAGCTGGGGCTCAAGAACTAATCTGCATTCTGATCCTGCAAGCACTTTATACATATAAATGACTTTATACAGTTGACTAGTCACACTGAAGTTGATGAGGAAGTTAGGCACCAGCATGATCATTTACCAGTTCAGGCCATAAAATCCTTGCTTTCCCTAAGATTTAAAGGCTCTGGGAACAGACCACACTTCATACTTCTAGAACACCAGAGGTACTTTCCAGGACAAGTTGGTTTTTTTTTAAATTCAAAAGTTTTTCAAGGACATCCTTTCTTACATTTGCTACAAAGATTTTTAAAATCTTTGCAGTCTACCAGCTCTCCTCTACTAATACCATTACTTGTGGCAGATCCAAAGGGAACCTGAAAGGAAATATTATTTCTCTTAGAGATTTTTCGTCTTTGGATTTTTATTATTTTCCTCTTTTTCCTCTTTCCTCTGTGAAAGATTTATCCAAGGATAATTATTCTTAAAATTATAGAAGGTGTGTTTTAAAAAGTTCCCTGCCCCAAAAGTCCTGCTGAGTCTCCTCACTATTCCACATAGTAAATAATTTATTGTATGAAAAAGATAACATATGTAACTGTGGTTGAGAAAAAAAAAATTCAGGAACAGTCTTATTGTCATAATTAACACCATAGTAGCTCTGTTAATGATCACCTATGAGACTTTATCATCCTTTTGGAGTCATTATTCCAGCCTCAGCTGCTGAAGAACAACTGTATCAATGAAGACAGAAGTCACTAAGTATTCCTGTAACATGAAAATAGCAGAATGGCTAATTTACTTGATACCTGATATGACCCAAAAGATCAGTATCCCTGCCTAATTAGTGTGCTCTGTTCCAATACGGTTGGAAGTTTACAACTGCAGGACTGCCTCAGAGAGCCAAATATTATTATGCCACAGCAATCCTTTTAAGTGGAAGCAGTTTTCCTAACCAGTGTCAAAATCTGAAGGCCTGACTAAAGAACATATAATACTTTTCAAGTGAAGAGCTTGCTCTGACTGATGGGGTCAAAAGTCCTCTCCTATATTTTGGAGCTTATTGTAATTAGCTTTTCTATCTCTAAGTAATTTTTAACCTTTAATCACCACACTTCATCAAAATACTGATAGAGAATACTGACTGATCATATCTACATTGTGTACAGAGCCTCTCCAGCTTCTCTGAGGTAAAATTATGGCAGCATATCCCACTCCCATATCACATTCTACAAGACTGAAGTTTTGCTGAGGGTATCAACACAAATTAAAAGGCTCACGTGTGCAACTCAAGGTGTAAATGTGATGTTACATATGCAGTTGTCTTCCAAATTCAGGATTTTTTCCTGCATGTCAGAAGATTGTTTTTCCACCATGACAGTTAGCTACAAACAGCTGCTTTCAATAACAATTAAAATTTTAAAAAACCAAACAAACAGACAAAAAAACTGCAAAAAACATCAAAAAATGCAAGTACCGGTCTTTCCCTTGACAGGCTGTTTGTTTTCCTCAGGCTCTCCCGAAGGCTGTGCCGGCGACGGATCAGAATTTCTTTGGCCTGCTTCTCACTTGCATCTGCAGCCAGGCTGTGTCGGTTGTAGGACATTGTCTGAAATGGAAAAGCCATGGTCACAGCCTGGAAAGCATGATGTCAAATGTGTTGGACTATATGAACAGGGAAAAACAAGCTTTTTGCTTGAATAAGCATCATAAATCCTTGTGAACAAGATCGTATTGCAGATGATTAATAACAAAAAAAATAATTATGCTTGGAATGTTTTTATTCATCTGCTTCACAACCACCTGGGTTTTTCTGTTGGTTTTGGTAATTTTTTTAACCTGCTAATATTTATAATGAAAAGCAAAATGGAAGAAACTGGCTTGATACCGTGTTTACCCCCACACTGTCGTAGCTTCATCAGTATGTCAGTAGAGGACACATATTTGAAAGTGATAAGTCCCCTAGAGGGAAGTAATTTTAACCTCCAGCAAGCTGAAGCTTGCTCAATTTTTGAATGTTTTCCAAGGGCTCAGGCATTCAAACTTCTTAGCCACAGGAGGACAAATGTGAAATGTCCTTTTGCTTTTATTTCACTATTTTTCCAGTTCATCATCTCTGCTCTTAATACAAACAGCTTTATAACTGGAGGCAAATAGGAAATCTAATCCCATGTCATGAAGTGACCAATATACTGATACAAGTAGACAATGTTGGGTTGAATTGGCACCTATAATCCTACTTTAATACTGTGGTTGCATCAGAGGTAATAAGACAAAAACATTAAGCCTTATCAATAGTATAAGATCAAGTAAGTATTTACACAAAGGAATGTGAATATGCTAATGTACATATGACAGGATATGGATTCAAGGCAACAGAGGTAAATAAGAGCATTACTTGTTATTATATGATAGAGCAGATGTACTAGCTCAAAGATGTGTTAAGAAGATAATCAGTATATTGCAAGAGCAGTGGGATATTTATGTAGGCAAAAGTTCATCCTTACTCGGTGTCGTATTTGGTAGAGATTCTTTGTTAATATTTCTCGCATATTTTCCATTTCAGTGGGAGAAAGGGGCTTTATTTTTCCTTCATGATAATCACTGTGGAAGAATAAAAAAAGGAAAATAGGGGAGAGGGAGAGATAGGAATATTTTTAATTTTATGGTCAGGAATTATTTCCTTTGTTAAAGATGGAAACAACATTTCAAAACAACCAAGTAATAGGTGAAAATTTAACATGTAGAACTGAAATCTTGATTTCATTTGAATTTGTGGAAAGATACAAAATGTGATAAAAATTACAATAATTTGTCCACTGTATTTAAGTACTATTCAGAATGCCCCTCAGGCTTCCCTTGTAGCTATTCTCAGCAGGCAGGCAGGCACGTGTTCAAGTCCACCTCCGCTCTACACGGCAGACGGGTGTTCCAGTGAGCAGCTGTCCCAGTAAAGCGACACACGCCGGAAGAGCACAGCACTTCCTTCACCTGAAGCTACAGGCAAAAGGCTCTGGTTTCACATCCTCTTACTGCTCTGGTGACATTAGGATGCAATGTATCCTAAGTCAAAATGATTATCCTGCCTACAGCCCAGGCTGTGAAATAAATTATGTGACCCAGCTGAGATGCTAAGCCATGAAGGCATCACTTGCTTACCTGAGAGACACTGATGATGGGACCTTGCTTATCATTCCACTCTCTGCCATCTCAATGGCATGCTTGATCTCTAGCTTCTTGTATAAAGAAACAATGCTGGATTTGGGCTGGTTCTCACGGATTAGAAGTCTTCGCAGGTATTTATTGTCAAACTTTTTAAACCTGTACATGAGGCAAACCAGCCCAATCAGTTAATTTTTACTGTGCATAGTTAAGTAAAGCCAATATATTGCAGTTAATGAAATTTTAAAGGATTTTATTGTCTGGGAATGTGTCTGTTTATGTTAACAACCTAATGCTGAGTAACCTAAGAAAGGGTCAATTTCAACTTTACTTCAGATAGATAGTCTTAATAGGTTAGATAGGTTAAAATGTTAATGGGCAGTCTCCCTAGCAGCAACTTTAAACTTTTAGATATTCTGTTATTAGAAAATATTATTTTTAGTTCTCTGTTTTCATCAGGACAAAGAGAACATTAAATATTTACTGTAATAACAAATAAAAGGCCAAAATTTGCATCAACTGCTTTTTCTTTGAAATTTTAGCCTGCTTTTGTAAAACTTTAGAAGTTGTTCCTTTCTCTAAAGCAACTGCACCCTCTTGGATGCTTAGTGAAAAAATATTGATTACAGCTGGTGTTGATTTTGTTTGTCAGGAAATATTTTGCCCTCCAGACGTTCTGGAATTATTCTTGAATTTGGGTGTGAAGGTCATGAAGAGGTGGGACTCTCCTTTACTCTGCAGTCTTTTCATTAAAGATCTCAAATAGACTGGAGGAGAAGCAGGCTAAGAAAAGAAAAGTTGTTCCCATGTCACACATCTGTCAGGAAAGTGTCCTCACTGTGTCACCCCCAAGTCATTTGGAGAGGGCTCTCATCAGCCATTCCTGCTATTCTCTCCTTATATAAAACACTCAAATTCTTCTTGGAGCAGAGACTAAAGGTGGTGAGCAGTGCCCATGCTTTGGGTCTAAAGAATTTGGATGTAAAAGGAATTAGATCCAACCTAATGATGATGATGATTCAGCAAACAAAGTAAAAATATTAATTATTCAGGTATTGCCAGGGGTAATCTTAACTGGTACTAAGTCTTAAGGAATACCATCAAGAGCTGTGGAGCTGCCTGCCATTAGGATCTCTCATGTATCTCATGTCAGCTGCTGCCTTGATCTTTCTAGAGGAAATCCACTAGCTTTTGTATGTTTACAGTCAAATAGGAAACTAACCCATCACTTAACTGCCCTGAGAAATACAGCTTGCAGGAGGACAGCTGGGTGAGCAAAAAGGCTCAGCAGACATAGAGAAAATGCTCTGCAGCAGTCAGAATCATACAGCTTCAGAAAGTACCATCCTTCACCCTGGGATCAGAGGGCTGCCTTGCTTCCCAGCTGGAGATTCTGTTCTACTTGCTTGTGGTTTAGTAAAAGACATTGTTTTGCTACTTTCCCTTTGAAACCCACATGTTCTAAAAACAACCATATGCTTTCAAGAATAAATGCTGAAAATGAAATTTGATGCACAACAGCCTTTGGGGTTTTTGTTGTTTTTTGTTTTGGTTTGTTTTTTGTTTCTTTGTTTTGTTTTTGTTTTTTTTTTTCTGCAGAGCCATTTCAGCCTCTCCTGTATAACAGAGTTTCAAATGCCATTCTTACTTATCTCTCCAAAAGTTGTGACCCCAGTGTCCACACACATCTTCAATTCCAGTCTTCACGTGGTCAAAGAACTAAAGGAAAACATTGGTTCATTACATAAACTTATAGACATCATTTGCCTTGTCCTTAGACCGTATTAATTTTCAATTTACTTTAAAACAGAAACATCTAGTCACAACTAAGGACAATGTTTCAGTCCTACCAAAAGCAGTCCAAAGCAAGCTCAAAGACAGAATCTGTTTCTTTCCCCCTGAATCTTCCTTAGCTCACAGCCACAAAAGGACAGAAGTTAGTGGCTAATTTCCTCAATGTCAATCTTGCTCAGCTCTTGCCTGAAACTAAAGGTTTTTCCCATATTTTCACTTACTTGTAATTCTCTAACCACTTGCTGCTATGCCTGGAACTTCCCCAGGCCTGACAGTGAGGCAAGTATGACTTTGTGGAGAAGAGAATCTCAGCCAACAGAAGATCCCTACATCAGCACCAGCCCCTCAGGATGCACAGACAGAAGTGAGAGCCAGCAGTAGGTCCTGAGATCCTATTTTAGGAATTTGTATCATCTTAAAGCATCCTGTCCATCTAATATTAGCAACACACTCTTCCTGAGTCTATTATCAATTAGGAAAAACTGAATCACTTCAGCTAAGGTCTCACTTGAACCCAGAGGCAGCATGTTTGCTTTTAATTCAGGAACCATCGTAGGGGTCTCTCAGTCTCAGGGGAAAACCCTGGGAGACATGTCCAAAGGATTAGCTCTAAAAGGACAGACTTTCAGATGCCTAGATTGGCTTCTGAACATGGCCCTTACTATTCCTCCCTTTTGAAATTTCAAACCACTTGCCTCAGGTATGCTCCAAGGAGAAAGACATTCAAGAAGATGCATGGCTAATAATCTGCAACAATTGGAGACACAGATGTACCAAACATATATCCATAAAAAGGCTGATGATGTAAGAGTTTAGTAAGTTTGAGAGTGTGTTTAAGAGAAGTTTGCATTTGTTTAATTAGATTAAATCAAATGCAGTATAATGTAATTAAATAAAGCCAAAGGTTTCCTGATGTAGCCAAATTATAAAATAATATGTATCTCATGTGTGAAATAAATACAAAAAGTTAATTTACTTCTAGATCTAAACAATTAAGAAAGTGAGAGATTCCAAAATAAGGATACGTAACAATAATTTTTGTAATTGCCAGAATTAAATATAAGCTTTACAATTATTGTGCTCGTAACAGCTATCAAAAAGTAATCAAGTACACCCTCTCCATAATACTGATGCTGAATGCTTGTCTGTCTGAACGTGACTAGGAATTTCATTTATACAAGGGTTTCATCGCTGATATGAAGTTGCAACATACCCTGTTATAAATCTCTTCACCGACAGCAGGCTGCTTTTTATTTGACCTTTTGACGTCAAGAAACTCCACCAGTGGGCGAATTGTTATTCCCTGTGAAGAAAAATAGAACACAATAATTATAAAAGTGAATTCATTCTTTTGATTAGCAGGTTTTGCACTTAGCTATGAAGTCCTTGTCAGTTCAGACTCCATTAATGCAACAGGAGGAAGAAAGGGGTGCCCCAGAACTGAGAGCTCCAAGAGGGTCAATCTAACAGAACCCATCAGGAATACATCACCTATCCCATCCATAGTTATTTTAAACTTTTTCTTTCCGTTTTGTTATGTGTTAGAAAAACATGAATTAATAAACTGATTCCCTATAATTTCAAAATGAACATGTAAAGTCCTCTTTTCTAGTACTTACGTCCAAAATAGGTATTCAAAGGTATGTAAACAGTACTATTATGAATATCAAAGATCATGAAACTATGTTTTTTTGAAAATATGTATCCTTGCCTGACCATTCTCAGAGAAAGAAAAAAAAGTTTTAGCTATTCCCTGAATTATATAATGGTTTTCAACAAGTATTTGTGGAAGAATAGAGATAATTTGTTTACTTGTACAGGCACACTGGCACAGGGGAGAGGAATGAATCTCCTGTGGTGTTGAGATCAGTCCCTACTATCCCAGTCACCCAGGTCACATTTCTTTTTGTAAATGAATCAAGCTTTATTTTAAAAGTAGTTAGGTTTCTTTGCCCCATTGCTCATAATGGAACACTCATCTTGAACCTTATTGTTCTGATAATTAGAAAGCTGCTTCTTAATTGCATCATGGTCACTGTGTAGCACTTTGTTCTTGTGCCAACATTTGTCTTTTTAGTTTAAACAATGTTCGCTCCCTCACATAAACAGTAATTATAGTCCCTCTTCGCCTTCATCTTGCTAAGGCCAAGGCATCCTGGTCTCCTTTCACATGACAGATTTACCAGTCCCCTGATTACTCCAGAACGTGCCACTGTGCTCTAATGGAAATACCTGTCTCAGTGTGTCCAACAATCAGATTTGCCTTTCTTCTGTCCCCACTGTATCGTTGACTTAAAATCTACCCCATTACCAACTAGTACACCTGTATCTTTTTCCCTTTCGATTTTTTTCCAAATCAAAGGTTCCCATTTCACAAGAGAAATTCCTAGTAAGAAAGTCCTTGCAAGAACATTTTTGAGCATTATTGAGCATTACTCTTCAGTTTAATTCTGTTCCTTTTATGTTGGCCCTCAGTTCTTTCTACAGGATACTCTGTCATCCTAAGAACACTTTCCAAAATCTGTCATCAAGAAACATCAGTAACAAAAACTCATACAGTTATGTGCCATGGTCAGTTAACAAGAGTATTAACTTATGCTTGAGGAATTCCTTTGATAATATCCCAGCAGCCTATTACCTGGCCAGGGTGGTTGAACAGTCGAGCAGGTGCCCAGAGAGGCTGGGGTACCTCCATCCATCAATATATTCAGAACTCAGCTTGACATGGCCCTGAGGAACATCATCTAACTTGGGGGTTGCCCTGCTTTGAGCACAGGGTTGGACTAGAGACCCCCAGAGATCCTTTCTGACCCAAAGGACAATTAACTTCTATTTCAATTTAAAGGAGGAACTGTAAGCTCCTTCCTCATTCATCTTACAGTCATCCTAATATCAATCTAACCCTCAGTTTAATGAGTTGTTACATTAGCTATCTCCTCTGTAGCCCCCTCCCCAAAGATTTTACAATAGTCCGGTTAAATTAGATTACTCTAGAAAATAAATTGCCTTGTGAAAGAATGATACCAGGTTTTTCTTTGATAAATCATGTTGTATCTCATAGCACACTCCATTTATCTCTGTATTTTAAATTATTCTGTTCTTCAAAATTAGTTTTCACAGCTGAAGTCAACTAACTGACCTCCACCTTGCCCCTTTGCCCAAGCATGAGCACAGATACTTGCTTCTCACAGCACCTTTTTCCATGTAAACAGCAGAGTAACAAAATTCTATCTTTTTTTTCACAGACCTGAAATTTCATTAATAGCCACTCACATCTCTCTCACTGCTCTGGATAATGACCATTCTGATATGTTTATCTGATGGGCTTGGCCTCCTCTACATTTTGCAGGTTTCAGTCTCTTGCTCACCCTTGACCAGGCCTCCATGGCCAGGTGGTCATCAGAGACAAGTTCTTCATGTCCTAACACACACCTGGTGCTTTTTTAGGGCTGTCCAGCTGGTTTGCAGCATCACTTCCAACTCCAGTTCACCTGCCTGGGCCCTAAGTATCTTTAGCTCATTGTGCACTACATCAAACACTGAACTTCTGAGTAAACACAGACAAATTTAAACATTCTAGAAAAAGGAATGAGTGCTGAAGCTGTGCCCAGATTATCTTTTATCTCTGCTCCAACCTCACTAGTCTTAAATACTTAGTACTACTTACATGTTAGCATAAGTACTTAATACTGGCATACTTTTGCTACCTGCCTATGGCATGCATAACATTTTTTCTACTATGACTATGGCGAGTACCTTCAAGTATGTTCCTTCCAGTAAGTTAGAACATTTAATTTTCTACCTATTAGAGGTACTTACTTATAACCTGTCTGAGAGAGACAAAGTTCAGGAGAAAAAAGGTACTACCTGAATGAAAACTGTAAAGAATATCACCACGATAACAGCAGTGATGAACAATTTCTTCCTGGGAAACACAGCAGGAGGAAGCAGAAATACAAGTGAAAAACAAATTGCTCCTCGGAGACCTCCATAGGCGATAATAAATTGGTCCTTAAAAGTGAGAGGTATTGTCCGGAACACATTAATGATCTGAGTCAGAACAAAAACACCTGAGGGAAAAAACAGAAATACAGAGAGGAAGGGGAAAAAAGGACACTTCAGAACTAGCCCATGATGCTAATATTTGTTTAAAAACACTTCCATTTGCTTCTAACCTTTTATTTGCTTCTTCAACATATATTATTGAAAAAATGAAACATTACTTAGCAGCTTGAAATACCATAATATTAAATTAAAAAGCCTTAGGAACATAATTTTGAACATACTTAGTGAGCTAAACACATCAGTTCAGCTAGATTTAGGACCTGAAGCAGCTAATAGATCTCCACAAGACAGTTACCTGCTAGACTACACCTCTAAACCAGCAATAATTCTCTGTGTCAGTATAGACCAAGACTCTTAATTGCTTTTTCACTGCATTTGAGGTGATTTTGAAACCTGGTTTGTCCCTTCCATCAATCTTTGAACCCTGCAAACTCCTGTTTGCTCTATTTTACTCAGACAGGAAGGATGCAGGAGTAGGGATGGAAGGGACAAGACGCCAATGCATGCTGGTGTACCTTGGAAAAAGGTTCCAGGGATGTGGCAGATTGGAGTAAAGGTATGAAGGCAGGTGAAGGGAGCAAGCACAGGGGGCAAGAGCTGGGTAGCAATCAGGGTGTTTGGCTGCTTTTCAGCTTATTGATTCAGCATATTGATTGTGGGGTTGCAGGTGCAGTAGGAAAGTAGTCCAGGTTTCTGCTCTGGAAGGAGACTTGGGAGCTGGATTAGAGCATGACGCACCTTTACACATGCAGGGACTGAAGCATTAGAGATGAAGCCAGGGAGAGGAGCAGATTTAAGACCTACCAGCCTGCCCCGCACTTAGCTCTCTCAATAAAAGGAAAAGAGCTAGTACTGTAAATTCAGGAGGGATCAGTTTCTTACAGGAGTTTTTCTTTACACTTCAATTACAGCATTTCCTGCTTTGATACTATTTATGTCAATGACTGTGAAAATCCCAAAGCTAGTAAACATAAATTAAAAACAAAACAAAACCAAAAAACAAAAGAAAAAATCCCACAAACACCCCCCACAACCTTTTTAATTCCGGAATGACTGCTAATTATTTTTACCACAGTTTGCTTATTTGTAAATAAATTTTTACTTAAATACATGTATTGTGATTAACAAGCAGACTGCCTCTCACTTTAGGTGAGCAGGACCAGGTCAAAACTGATTTTAGGTTTAGGGAAAGGTGGAAGCTGACCCTGTGATATAGGGCATGTTACTAATACAAAAAGCATTCTGCAGACTGATGGGTCTCTGTCTAAGTTCAGGCATTTTCTACTTGACAAGAGATAAACCATTTCACTTGCAAAGAATACTAACCCATAGTCTGAGACTTGCTTACCCAGTGCCCTCCAGATTAAACAGAAGAGGAGGGTGAAGCTTACAAAGGCCCAGTTCCACTCATGGTTCTTCCCAACTGTAGACACACCCATGAAGATGAAGATTAAAGTCTCACTGACACTGCTCAGCATCTTCATGAAATATTTTATCGTTGTGTAGGATTTCTGAGAAACATTTTCCTCCACATATTTATTCATGGTCATGGCACAAGCTGTAATCCTGAAAGGCAAATATTTTCCCATATTTCATTGGCTTTTTTTTTTTTTTAGCCTCTCTTTTATCTACATAATATTATTCATTTTCCATAGTTATCTTTAAAATGCAAAGTATAACTTATTCCATAACCAATCTCAAATTTTCAGGCTTGGTGAACCTACAATTTTGGGCTTGATTTTTTTTTTCTGCAATTGGAAGTTTTCTGAGAAGACATCAGTGTATGGAGAGTTTTTTCACATACTAAATGCACACAATCTATGTAGGGGTCACTCCAACTCTGTTTTGAAAGGGGCAGAGATGAGGAGAGGCAGGGAGAGTCTTGGAAAACAGAAGCTGCTGCATCTCTTGCTGCTGAGGGACATCAGACAGGGTGGAAATTGCATATCCTGGGGCAGGGCAGGACTTCCCTCCTTCCCTTCCCTTCTGCTTTTTCCTTGGGAAAAGCAAAGAATGACATTACTGGTAGTACATCACTTGCTCAGTATGGCTGTCCACAGTACAGGGATGGCTGAGGACCACTCAGCTACACATTTACAAGTTTAAGAGTAGTTAGCAGAGCTGGAGGATAACTTCAAGGTGGTGTCTTAGTGTAGGGAAGGACAGTCTGAGCTGACAAATAATTATCAGGGAGGACAACTAAGGCAAGATACATTGTGAAATAGCTGTCATTCCTGGTTCTGCTGTCTAGGGCAACAACATCTGCTCTGATTTCCCAGTGAAAAACATTATCCACATCCATGTATGGGTTCTCAGTCAAACCCATAAAAGTTTGTGCTAAAACGTTTTAGCATACTAAATCTAAACAAAGAAAGAGAGATGTATTTACATTGTCTTTTTGAATACAGCCAACTTGTCTACGGTTATTTATTCCAGGTTTTCAGATATAAGTATTTGCTAACATAGGGGATATTTCTTCATGCTCAAATCTCTACACTTCTCTCTCTCCTGGGGGAGGAGGGCAGGTTTGCTAGCATCTCTGAAAATTTCTCTTGAAATGTCCCAAGTCTTATGGACATTTCACTGCAGAAACTCTTCTGCTAAGCATGTCCTGCCTCTAAGTCAAGAGCCCCATCTCTGAACCAAACATCCCTGAATGTGAATATAAATGGAAACGCAGACTGGGACAAAGCTCAGAGAAACCTCACTGACAATATGAACACACATGCCTGGGTTCTTTCTTCTAAATAAGGGATTTAAAAAAAAAAATTGCAAAGCAAGAGGAATCCCAGAAGCGGCAGTAACTTCAAAAGGACTTCCATAGAGTGAACTTTCTTTGCATTTTGCAATAGGGAGTCTGTAGCAGCAGCTCAGGTTGTAGTCACTGGCACACTTTGAATGCATTTCTGTTGATTAATTAAAGTTAGTTTTGTCCAGAGGTTTCATTCTTTTACATGGAGCCACATCTACATCCCCAAAGTGGTTGGGCAACAATACTTCTGAAGGACAAATCTGGAGGACATGTGGACACTGGGAGAGGACACAGTGTACTCTGTTGACCTCTCCCAAGCAGCAGAGACCCTGAATATATATCAAAGTGAAGAAAACCCAAGGTAGAGAATGTGATATGGGGACAGATGCAGTCTGATGGGGCAGATAGTGGCTTACAAATACAGGCAGAACAGTGCACCTAACCTGGCCTTCACCCTGCATTTTTATCCACCTATACATGGTGATGGAGAAGGATCTAGTCAGCACAAAATAAAATGTCCAATGACATGCAAAGACTAGCTCCAACCCTAAGCAAACTCCATGTCTAAGAAGCAAGAAAGTCTCACTAAGACTATCCCAGACCCCCATCTATATTTAGTACTGATATAATTGTCAGCCCTCTCCTCATTGTCAGCTGATTTCACCGCAGTCCTGAACAGAAAGATTCCATGTGGACCACAGGTAGCATGCTGCCTGGGAAACAAAGCTCATCCTGACTACACAGGGTCCACTGTGGAAGATATAATGTAGATTTCATAAGCATGCAAGCTTTCTCCCTGAAACACACAGTAGTTAAGGTAGCATTTCTAGTTTGAGCATCTGGTTAAGATAACAGAAGTCCTGAATTTTTTGCCAATATTGACAAACTGATGATGCTTTTCACAGCTTTCCTCCTTGTTCTGATCTTACAGTTACCCAGACTGAGGACTTACAACAGATCCCACATCATGTGCCTGAGCAAGAGAGTGGGAAAGGACTTGTCACACACATGGATTTTGTCCTGACAAGAAGCAGCAGCTTGGTCAGGACATGCACTCAAGCCCGAAGCTGTCAAACACTCCCAGGTCCCTCAGTTTGTACACAATTCTGATGATCAACCATAAAAGTACATGCACAAATCTTCTCAAATCCACTTAACCCTTTGACCTGCCAAAAGTCTCATACTCAGTGGCAAACCAGCTCTTCACTGCACTGACGCAGCGACAAAGATCTCGGGCTATGCCATGGGTTGTGACAGCTCTCCTGTGTTACACTGCTTATCTGCACAAGTGTAACAAGTCTGCTGCAGCCTGGCTACTCCGGCCGATGGCACTCAGTGGAGCTGGCAAACACAGGGACAGCAAATGCAAAAGAACAAGAAGGCAGTGGGTGGGCTGGAAAACAGCCATGTCTAGGCCCACAGTCATTTCAGAGTCCCAAAGCAGCAGCTCAGTGCCCTGAAGCATTAGGACTGTCAGGTCTGCATCAAAGGCACGACGAAACACGCAGTACTATTTATTACCTTCTTAAAATAAACAGTTTTCATGATTATAGTAATTTAGGAAAGCCCTGCAGCATGGGGAGCAGGGAATTGTGCTCTGGACTTGGTTTGTTTTTGGAACCTGAGGTAATGGAGACACTGTAAGTAGATGTCTGATAAGAATCTGTCACCAGATTAATCAAAATCCTTGCAAGCTGTAACTTAAAACACCTACCATGCTTGCCCACTAGAATTTAAAGGGACAACACTCTTATTTTCAGTCACATTTTGCATTCATTCAACTAGTGTCAAGCAACTGAGGAGTTGGTTCAATGCTACAAGGAATAGAGCTGCACATGATTTGTTACTCTTCAGATAAGTAATATTCCACACCTAATCACTGCTCACTTAGAACCAGGTATCTCTTTAGAGTATTTATTTACATGAGAAAAAAATGCTGAAGTCTCCTTTATTTGAAAATTGTGTGGGGATATAGTGTTAAAATTTAATATAAAATCAATGTCTTTATGCAAGGTTTTATATACATTATTACAATAAGTTCTTCACAAACTATATTTTTACTGTCACAATAATCAAAGTCAAAGCTTAGATGTGTTTCATTTTACATTTCTTACCCACATACATTAATTCTGGCTTCCAGTTCTGTGACCTGAGTAGTTGCCTTGGTCAAGAAGGGGAAGGGAAAAGCACTTCATTGCAATTAACCTGCAACATTCTGTACTTCTGAAGAATAAAAGTCTCACTGTATAAACAGTACAGTTTCTGTCAGGACTGCAATAAACTAGGCCACTGGGTTCAATCCTCAAGTTTCCTTGACCTACTAAATTTACAGTAGTTTCAATGTTTGCTCCTTTCAGCATGCTAATTCATTGTTTCAAAAGAAAAAAAAAACCCTATATTAAAAGTTCTGCTGCTCCACAGCTTTCATGAGAAATTAGTAAGAAGAAAATGCAGCATGAAAGCAAGTGAATAAAGTTCAGATTCGGATTTGTGTGTTTTACATGTGTGAGCCTCACTCAGGCCCAGCTCCAGTTACAGTAGAAACTCTATCTTCTCCTTCTGAAGAGGATTTTCTCACTGCAGCTCACAGGGACATGGTTCAGTCCCTTCACTGTGTCAGCCAGGTAACCTGGTGCAGGGGTTATACACGGACATTTCAAGAATCGTTTATCCTTAGAATGAGTACACAAACTTATCAGAAGAGGGACAAGTGCCTTTCATTCTCTTCTATTCCTCTGCCAGTGAATTCCTGCTTGCCCAGGAATGAGGCAATCTGTCTAAGTATTTTATTTATTTGGTAACACTGTACGTTCCTGCTCATGTCCTTCCCCTAAAATATGGTACACCTTGTAATCACAAGTTCTCACCGAGTATCTTTATAAACCTGGTTATGAAAGAAGTGGGAATCAGTAGTTTAACAGACTCATGTGGCTATGGGTGAAAAAGGGGAGACCAGGCAATTATTCTTCATAGGCTGGACTGTAAATGGCCACAGAAGCAAGCCATAAATAATCTTGGTTGTAAGGGACATTCCAAGGTCATTTACTCCAACTACCTGCTCAAAGAAGGGCTGACTTTTAAATCAGACCCAAGCAATCCCTACATGAGTCAGTTGCTGCAAAAAATGACAGGGAACTCTGGTTAACACTGGTGTGTGTTTTTGCACTGTGACACAGAGCAAATTACTTTCTATAGTTCAAAGGCAAAAGAAATGTGACAAGAATAGGGCAGATTTACTCCAAGGGGATGCAGAAATTGTAGGAGCTCCAAAGCTGTCAGCAGCACTGCTGGGAGGGGACAAGCTTTATGGCAGCTGAGACCCTACATGGGAGCAGAGAACTCTTCTGTCTCAGCAGAGATGTTTCTGCTTTACACAGTTCTGTCAGCTATTATAAAGCATGCTTAAGAGACAAAAACAGACAGAACATTTTAAAGCTAACTCATTTTCTACTGTGCTGTTTGAGGGTGAAAATACTTTGTGTTTCCTCTTCTGTTCTGCACCCATTCAGGGGTCACTGCACAAAGGAAAATAAACAGGTTGTTAGTGCTGTGGGAAGCACTGGTGTGCTGGTGGCAGGCACTGGCATGTGGTGGGTCCCCTGACCCACCAGGAGATGCACCATGCCCTATCCATTGTGTCCTGGATGCAGCAGGTCCAAATCAGTATTTTCATAAACACTGCCTCAATTTTTTCCATGTACAATTTAGACACATGTTTTTGGTTTAGAAACCCTTTAAGTATTTGATCATAGGATGTCAAGGACATTTGGCTTAAGAGGTGGAGGAAACTAGAAACCACACAAATGCTATGAATAGAAGCTATGGAAAGAGATGGCACATTTATGAACTCGGTCAAAGTGGATGCATATGTTGCTTTATTTAGGCTCATATCAGAGAAAGAAACCCATGTAATCTTTTGCTCTTTACTTACATTGAAGTTCCAACCCTTGTTGTTTCATGGCATATTCCTATTTTTGTACTACTAAAATCATCACCCATAAGTTTCCTTGTAAATTGCTTCCCAGCCCCAGAAAACCTTATACTGGCATGCCTATGATAGTAAACCTATCTTCACTTGCCTGAAAGAAAATAATCAGGCCAGGTATTATCGAGTATTAGTGACACTCAGCAGTAATATCTGAGCTTACAAAAAAAGCTCTGCTCCTCATGCCTGAATGACTCATATTTGCCACTAGAAAAACAAAAAGTCATTAAACAAAGTTGACTTTAAAAATATTACTTGGAACCAGAGCAAAACATTTAATTATATCAAATGTCATAAAGGCTCTTTTTAATGTTGAAGTCCTTACAGTAAAAAGAGAGTGAAGAGAGAGGCTGTGCTCTTTCTTTACTGAAGACAAGGAGTGGAAAATGAGAAGGGAATATTTCTATCTGTTGGGAGTGGGAAGAAAAATATTATTTTATACATAATGATATATACAGAGAACGTTGTAACACACAGGCACATGTATCAAGATCCAAAACTATAGGATTATGTTACCACTGGACTGCAAACTTTACATTCACTCAATCCTTATTGTGCCTATAATCCAGCAGAAGTTTGCCTTAATGATATATACATTGTCTTCATTGAATGGTATTTACTGGCTGCTCACATGACTAACTGTTAAACACAGTTTCACAATATATTGGCATCGAAAGTGAAGGCAGCTGATGAAGTTCCCTGCTACCACTGCCACTCCCTCCCTGCCACCATTGCCCCTACATCATCATGGGCCACTCCACACCCATGCCCTTAGGACTAGTTGAAGGGTCACACTAGGACACAGGTCACCAAAGTGACCTGGGTTAAATATAAGCACACTGAAAATACGAGTGAATATTTTTAACTTGGAACATTTCAAAGATACAGCTTATGATGTGATGCCATGAGCAGTTTTAGTGACACAGATGGTGTGGTGGCAAGCTGAGAGAAGGGGGCGGAAGCGGGAGGGAAGAGGCCGGAAATCCTCAAGCCAGCAACTCTGCCATGCACCATGGAGCAATGCCACATGGCAAGGTTTGAAAAAGCTGATCCTCTCTCCAATTTCCTTTGGCATTCTTACTTGGATGCTATGATTACTGAAGTTTGGGGTACTTACGCCATGATGCCCGAGAGATGAAACATTTCGGCTGTTATGTATGACAAGTAACTGTACAGGAAGACAAAGAGTGGCTCAATCACTCGGATTTTATGGGTGAAACGGGTTGTAAAGGCTGCTACAAATCCCAAAAGGATTCCAATCAATACTCCACCGATCCCCACTATAAAGAAGTTAGCAATCCCAGCGAATATGTCAATAACCTTAATTGTGCGCATCTGGCAGAAAGACTTGAACAAATTGTACAGGACCTATGAGGAAAAAGAAAGCACATTATCTTTTTGAACTATTCTTAATTTCCCTCCATGTCATTATGCTCCTTTGCTTAAATGCTGAACTTTGAATTTCTCTATCTACCTTGAATTTGCTTTTTAGATACACTGTTATTTATATCTGGCATATTATTTGTCATCCATATATACCAGAGAGATACAAAAGACAGATAAATATAATTACTCCCATTTTTGCAAATGGCACAGATTTCTTAATCCACGCCACTCTAGGGGCCAGGAGCATAAAACTATCTAATTCTTCTTTTAAATCATTTATTTACAGAGCTCCTAATGTGCATTACAGATTTTCCCCAGAATAAAATAAATAAAACAGAAGGAGAAAAAAATAATCAGTCTCATAACCAGTGAAAAATCAGGTTATTTTCAAATCTGTTTGATCTACATGACACTGAGAGGTAGAGTACTGAGACAGACCACAGATTAATCTAAACTTCTGGGGTAGGAGGGGATGTAGAGGCAGCTGGGGATGACAGTGCCAACTTCAAGGAATAAAAGAAACATGGTATTCATTAAGCCAGTGCTCTTTCTCAAAGTTCTTGACCATTAGGAATCCAATGGTTTAAAGACTGTTCAAAATATCGAGCATTTCTAGAGATTTGGATTTCATTGCCATTAAAAAAACCTGCTGCCATGTGTTTGCCCAGTTTAATTTTCAAAGCATTTATAACTCCAAAACAAACTAGGTCAATGGGATTATTGCATTTTCTTAGCCAGAGACCCTTTTTGTTTTATACAGAAAACAGAACAATCTAAAGACCACATTTCTCTAATATCCAGTGTTTTTAGTTTCTCCAAAACAGAAACCAATGGAATCAGTTACTGTTAAAGAAACTTTAAAGGGTTGCCCCATCTGCAGATCCACTTGAGAGATTTAACCATTCCCTGGTGTTGCATGTATGCTCCCAGCCCTGCAGTAGCAGGGTGGCTACCCTGTCCCCTTGTACAGAGCTAACTTTGGTCACAGGCACCTGTTCCTATCACAGTGGGTTCACAGACTAAGCCAGTGTGGGCCAGTCATCCTAGACAGCTTGCAGGAGTTAAATCTCCGCTTTCTTTCTGGACTTCTTAGTACACCAAACAGGTTTCTCTATCACGAATGCTATTTGAGATCACAATGTTTTATCAGTACTCGCATTGTGCCAACAAAATAGGTGTTTGAGTAGTGGCTGTGGAAGGATTTTTCATGTTTGCAGTCCTGTTCTCTCTCACAGGACAGAACATAAGCTATTCAGCCCTTCTTAGTCAAAACTGGCTAAGTGTTACAGAACAGTTTATGCAAAGATGTGGCTTATTGTGGGAAAGGAAAGAAATGAAAAAGAAAAGAGAAAATATATTCCAGAGTAAGCATGAAAATAGAAGGTTAAATCAAACCTAGAATGATCACCAGCCATTTTCATTACAAAGCAGCAAATACAAAAAGAGCAGGATCATGAACTATTTATTAGATAACAATGATGCTCTCAGGATGAGTCCACTTGGGAGAAGTGTACTTTTTCATCTGCACAAACCCTGCTCTGAGGCAGACTCCCAGCATTTTTCCCCATTCCTTGTTACTATGTACTGTGCGTGACAGGAAAGCAATGTCATAGGCTCCACAGTTTTTCCACCTGTTTTGATTTGCAGACTTATGGATTTGCATGGAGAGAAGGATACCAGAATTAGACCTACTGACAGAAGGAGTGCCTTTGCTACTCCTTCCTTTGCTTCTCTACTTTACAAGGACCTCTCAATCCACACACTCCCAGGACTCTATTAATCACAGACTGAAGAATACTGTTGACTTGTCATGTGTGCAGAGAGTTTCCCTGAGTCACTCATTGAAACTTGGGACAACCCCAGAGTTGTGTTTTTCTCTGAGACACCTACAGAATTGGTTCTGGCAGAAAACTCTCTTGGTACATATTAGAGAAGCTGATTATTTTATTTAATTGGAGTTTTAAAAAGTATTTTTTATATTTTAAAAAGTAACTATATAAATATATACAAGGCTAGTCTCTAAAGTAAGAGAACTGCAAGGTCCTTGCAAAGAAGCAGAGAATTTTGATCTATCTAAGCCTTTCGATAACGTCATTTTACAGCAAAGTACTCACCCTGAAAATAGAATGGAGCCTGCTACTCTACATGGAGACATCTTCATAAATATCAAGTCTAATGCCATAAATTATTTTAAAGAAGCAAAGCAATTTTCTCCTTTGTACCTCAGCCAGGGTTAAAGCAGCAGCTACAACTATCAAATGTCATAAACAGGATTTTAACGTCATTCCTATTGGTTTTTATTTACACTGTTGCAAATGAAATCAAAATCGAGTTCACTTCCCTTTTACTCTACAGCAGTTCAGTTTTACTGAGATTTCTCTAAACTTCCAGGTGCACCAAACACCAATGCCAGTCACATATTTAATGTATCTGGGGTGAGAACAGGGGGGTTTTTTGAAGTTCAATATTTTCATTTACTCAATAGCCTTCAGCTGAACTCACTGAAGGTCACACCAAGAAATATTAGTCACTGATCACTTTTTAATCTTGTCTCAGAGTATCTCTTAAATACTAATTGCTTATTTTCATCAGTTCTCAGTTATTAAGTTTTTAATTCTAAAATTACTTTAGAGCACTCTAAAATAATGTTGTCAGCAGATGCAGAGTACAAAATACTGCTGTAATGTTTTCTAACATGGAAATAATATTATTATAATGACACTGGCTCGTTCTTTCTGATTTTAAACCCAGAACTGGAGTTTGAACTGCTAACACTCAGCTGTGATCTTGTAATTTATTATCACCTTGCTTGTTATGTCTGACTCAGTTTCTTGGTAAAGCATCAACTCTGATCAAGAATCCAATTGTCAAACTATGTCCTCTGCCAAATTCAAGTTCCAAAATTCCACCAGTGGGGGAAAAAGAACATTCAAATGCATAGACAAATCGAAAAAACTATTATGCATGGAAGACAACCTGAAAAAATGCAGCTTCTGAGAAAACACATCTTTCTTTATATACAAAATGAAGGTGTGGGAGCATGTTCTCTGAAAGGACAGCATAGATGACACTGCTATTCTAATAAAAGCACATTTAATAAAGCCACTGTGTTTTGCACTGCCTATCTGCATAGTCCCTTGTTTTTTTGATATTGCAGTGGCCATAGGAATAAGACAGCTTCCATAGATGGCCAACCTGGATTCAACTCCCTTCCTACTTCCTCCCCACATCCCACTGCAGGCCCCTGCCAGGGCAGGTGGGACTCAAGGGCTCCAGAAGATGAAAGCTGAAAGGTTCTGAGCTCTGCTGGATGCTGGTCTCTTCAGCCCCCCATAGAATAGGGACAGGGAAGGAGGAGTACAAAGCACCACCTCCTCCAAGCACAGGGCTGTGTAGCCTGGCAAGGGCTGCTCCAGCAGCATCTGCTGTGGGCAGGGAAGTAAGGTTCTCTAAGGGCAGCCCCAGGAATCTGTGCAACAGCCTGGGTCACATTTTAGGTATAATCACATGACTGCAGGTGTGCAAAAACATAACAAGGAACCATTAGCAGACCATTTCCGTGCATGTGGAAACAACTTGATCTCTGTCCAAGTGCTACCTTTAAGCGATAGGGAAGTAAGACCAAAGGTACTTTACATTCCTTTCACTCCTTCATAAATATATGTAATGCCAGTGCATTACTGGACTGTCCCTATAGACTCCTCAGATTATCCTTCCTCTGTTAGGGCATCTGGGGAGGCAGGCCATAAGGAAACCTCCAGAGAAGGCAATAATGATGCCTACAGGAACGATACATACTGAATTGCCTTGCCAACCCCTATAAAAAATGGTGGTTTAGAGAAATTTGCCTTTGGGAAATAGCACATATGAATATATCAGTGATCAGGATGCAGAGTTTTCCTAGCAAATCATATTGTATTAACTGCTGCCCCATGCCCAACTTTGTCATTGAGAAAAGTGATTTTGGTTGGAAAAATCCACCAAACAAGAAGTTTTAAATAACCAGATCCTTTTCCCCAGAAAAAATAAAAAATGTATGAATAGACATCTATCGCACAAGTGGACACTAGAGTGACTAGAGGCAGACCCAGCCATGGCTGAACTTCTAAGCCTTTTGAAAGTCAGTATGTACACCCATTTATTTACAGGATGGCTTAAAGTACCAGTTTAGCACTGGCAGGCAGTTCCAATTGTAAGCTATTGAGAAAAGCTAGGTTTTAAGGCAAGCCTGTAAGAGGTGATGTGATTCAGACGACTGGATAGCAACAGATTCAGGTAAAGCATGCAGTGTAAGTGAAAAAATAATATAGTATTCCCACAGACACACAAGAATTTATCAATATCAAGGTTCAGAATAAATGATGACATATACCTGTGTTGAGCAGGCGATGAATAGTCCATGAAAAGGGAAAAACAGGTAAGGCAAAGTCCAAGAAAAGGGGAAAACAGAACAATTTTGCACAGAATGGGACTGGAATAAGAAGCCAGGGACAGAAATAGGAAAGTGCAGACCCAATTCATGAATCTTTTTGATCCTTCCAGCATATGAAAAACTGTACTTCTATGTCTCAGAAAACAGAAAGCATGCTACGGCACGGTTGGCATGGGCAGGATTTCAAGGCCTCAATAAGTGGGAGTAATGCCTCAGACAGTGTCATCAGGTACAAATGAGAGACACTGGGGGGGATAATGGAATCTGCAGATTGCTGTCCTCAGGTCAGCACCACAACCCCAATTCAGCTAGTTAATGATTAGAAATTACTGCCTCCAGGTGGCTGTCTTATCTCATCTGTAGCCTGGGATACGTGTATTGGTGGTTTCAGGGCAGTTCCAAGTGGATGGGCATATGCAAGAAGTTAACCTCAGCAAGGTCCTCTGCCATCTCCATGATTTGCCATCCTCCCCATTAACACACTGGGACACCCCACTCTGGCCCTTTCCCTTTCCTGTCCAACAGAATTTCTACAGGTGAGAAAAACCTACAGTTTCAGATTACAGAAGTAATAGAATTGCAAAGATATAGAAACTAGAGTGATCAGTAGTAAACTCCCTACAGTAAATATGCTACCATTACTCTCAAGTAGTAAGATTACTGTGATTTCTAAATCTAAAGTTTAAAGAATTAGACACACTAGCACTCCTTGACTTCCATCTAGTAGCAAATTTTAATAATCAGATACAAAGAGAATGGCACGTAAACAATCATTCATCATTTTTATCAATTAATCATTTATCAAGTAACTTACCACAGTTATAGCATCATTCAGCAAAGACTCTCCAAACACCAGAATATAAAGCTGCTCATTGACATGGATATTTTCAAAGACAGCCAGCACCGCCACAGGATCCACAGCTGAAATGAGGCTGCCAAAGAGCAAATTCTGCAGCAAAGTGATGTCAGTCAAACCAAATGCACTGATCTGGCAAATTCCATACAGGGAAATTCCAATGCCGATGGCATTCCAGAGTGTGCCCACCACAGCATACCAGAATATGGTACCAAAGTTCTCAAAGAACAGACGAGTTGGCATAAAATATCCAGCGTCGAGTACAATAGGTGGTAACAGATACAAGAAAAACACATCACTGTTCATTACAGGTGGGGACTTCTCCTCTGCTCCAAAAATAATCCCACCAAGAAGCAATCCAACCAGAATAAGGAGACAGCTTTCAGGTACTATTGAGGGCAACTTGTGATAGAGATGAAAGCCTTCAAAGGAAATTCAAACACAAGAAAGGGAAATGGTTACTTGTACAGAATCCATAAGATTATTCTGGATTCTGTTATTGTCATTTCTATACTAAACAAACAGCAATTGTAGGACAATTTCATTTTAACTGAACGACTGAACTGGACATCCACAATGGGTCAAACCAAATATGCTGGCTACATCGTTAATTCAATTGATTTGGTGGAGAGACAAATTAATAGTTAGACATTTCACTTAACAGCTAGGCTGGATGGAGCAACTATGTGCAAGGGTTCTCTTTGGCGGGTTTTTTTGGTTTGTTTTGTTCTTTTTTTTTAATGTGGAATCCTACAGAAATGCAACCCAAACACTTCTCTGGGGTAAATTACATCTAGATAGAGAAAAAAAACCATCATACTAACCACTGCTTCCTCTCTGGACAACTTCACAAAGTAGCTTAAAGAGTGCTTTAATTTCATTTTTACTCTTGGAGTATCAAAGCCAGTGAGGAGAACTAGCACATGACCTACACCCAGTCACCCATGATCACTTCCCCTACCACCAGAAGGAAGCATTTAGAGATACAATTATTATTTTTAGTGGAGCCTCCAAATTAATTTCACAAGAATCAACATATTTTCCATAAAGTGACAGTAAGTTGTAGCCTGTATTATTATGTTTATTCGTCTGTATCATATGAATTGTAGTAGAGTCAGGATTCTCTCATGAAAATCTATGCAAAGTACTGAAGAAATTAATTTTAAAAGGTTTTGAATGAGGACTTAGTGCTGAATGTTACTTACCCTTCTAAAACTCTCAAAGCCATGCAGTTTTGATTTAAAGATTCCAATTACTTATAGAAGTTGGCTGTCGCAAGGATAATTCTCAGAAGGAATGGGAAAAGTTTTGAAGGAACTTACTGCGACCAATCTAATGGAATGATCAACCTTATGCACCAAGGTCACATTCCAGGTCCCAGCGATGCCAATCTTTTCTGAACTCCTCCTTATCTATATTTGGCCCATATAATTATATAGAAATTGATCCACACCCACAAGATCCCACAATCCCTGCCTAACTAAAAAGCATTTAAATTATTTTAAATGAGAGCTGCATGGAAACACTGGGTGTGGTAATAACGGGCGTCTATTTCAGTAAAACTATTTCAGTAAAAATCACACCTGTAGTCGAAACAGTTAAATTACTGCAATCTTGGTATAGTTTACATCCAGTTTCCCAGTTTCAGGGTTCTGTATCATGTAACAACTATTTTGTTAACTCTCCTTTCACCATGGATTTTTTTTCCAGTTAAAAGAAAGCCTGAACTTATAATTAGGAAAAACAAATGGTTAAGAAGGAGCAAGAGGAAAGTTGTTTATGGACTTTTTACTTATATATTCTGTAACTATTAAAGTTATTTTTAAAAGCAAGCAGCTCAAGCTGCATTTTTATTTCTTTTTGAATGAACACAGACTGCTTTAAATAATTAGAAACACAGCCTATGTGACTCATTAGATGGACTGCCAAATTCATTGTCATTCTTCAAAACCAGAATCACCAATGCCCTATATTAGCAGAACAGGTAATGATCCTGGAAAAATCAAGAATTTGCAGTTGGAGACTTGACTCTTCACCTTTCAGCCGTTTACATATAAACATTTTATAATTCATCTTGGTTTCTGCAGTGGCAAAAATACAATTCCAATACAATGATCAAGAAGTTTCTCCTGAGTAAGTTTTGCCAGAAGTTTTTTTAAACCCTTCAAAAGTAAACTTTAAATCATTTCCTGAATAAAAATTCAAGAGAAGGAAAATTTTGTAAATGCAGCTTTTGACAAAAACAAAAAAAAAATACCAACCAGTTGTAATACAATGGCAATGAAATGTCTACTGTGAAAAAAAAAAAATTAAAATCTTTTCTTTCCTTCTTTACAAATCACTCTGGAAAGTTCACAGCCTCTCAGAGATTTGGGATGCTACCTCATTCTAAAAGATAACGGAAAGCCTCCCACTAAGTTAAATATGCTTTTTATTAACATAAACAACATCAAAACTCCTGGAAGATTTTCTGCCTACATGAAAAGTATTCAAGGGTGATTAGGGACAGGCTGTGGCTCTTGATTTGAAGGCAGAGCTAGAATTTAGAGTCCAGTGCATGTCAAGTCAATAGCAGATGCCTTGCCCAACAAGAGACATTTTCCCTGATCTGAGGGATTCACAGCCACAATGTCAGGATCACCCTGGGGCCAGATCCTCTGCAGTACAGGAATACTCTGACTTTCAAGCTGAATGCAAGACTACAGCTACTTTCTCTCTTCTGACCCTTGGGCTGTCCTTGGGCTTCAGGTTATGCAGTGACTCAGCTTCAACAGCATGGAAGATGTTTATTGAGCATCCTCCATATATCATGGCAAAAATTGCAGTAGGATACTTATCTGAAATCAAGTTAAGTATGCTTCAAGATAAAAGTCCTTTGAATCTCAGTTTCCTTTTTTGGCGCGAATTCCAGTGCTTTCTGATGCTGGAAATGCCACTGAGTACCTCTGGACAGCTTAAACCTTCTTTCAGGAGAGCACGTTTGGAAGGGTATCGTGTCAATTGCCAGAAGAAACACTTCTCATTGTGTATTTGTGATTGAACATAGAAATAACAGGAATGTGGATCGGTTACACAATATTGTGCAGGTTTAGTAGCATAAAAATTAAGCAAAACTGGGGGTCATGTAGACTAGTCTCACTGGTTAGAGACTCCAGCATACTCAGGTGCAATGGTCCCATCCAATATACTCATGGAGTCCATCAGCATGTGAGTAAAACACCTCTGGTATCAACACACGAAACAAGAAATAAGTAGAGGTAGTAATAAGATAATTCCATTCAAGGCAAGTTATTAGATTTTGAATTGTGCTTATATCCTCTACTGGAATAAAAAGCACCAAGTCCTTGTGAAAATGTACCTTGTCAAAAGGTTCGAGCTCTGCTTGACAACCACTTTCTTATGCTGCCTTTTTTGCTCCCTCTAAACCAAGCTCACAGCAACATGATCACAGGCAGGATCAGACAAACCTTTCAGATAAATTCCCTATAAAAATTACCAAATGATGGAACATTTCAGTTCTGGAGAAACTGCCCTTCTGTGAAAGCATATTTGTTAAAATATTCATAACCAGGTGCTGCAGTTGAGTATTCTTTGGGATCTTTCACACACTGAGAGAGCTGTTGTTACACAGAACCCTATCTTCTGAGCTCCTCACAGCTGGAAAGACCTTAGGGATCTGTTCATAAAGGTTTGAATACTCTGCAGTGCCAAGTGTAAGCATTCAGTGCCTAGCCCCAGAAAGGAATTTGTGATGCCAGATTAAGAACCGAAGTTTCCTGGGCAGTGTGGGAGTCTCGAGGTGGATTTCACGCTGCCTGGCATGGCAGGGGCAAGATGCCTGTGCTGCCCAGCAGGAAATGATGAGAGGAATGCTTCAGAGAGCCGCCTCTCTTAGAGGGCCCCTCTTAGGCCCTCAGGCAGTGAGATGGGCTTGGAAACCCATCTCCATCCTTTTGAATCAAGCCACATGGCTCATTCCTAGTAACCAGCATGGCAGAGCATCATTTAGGTATCAAAACTGCCCATCTGGGCTACCTTCAATAGAAAAGAAGGCATAAACCAGTGAAAATTTGATGTGGAATGTGACTTAGGAGTGATGGGAGCCTGACCTGGGAAGGTTTACCTGATGCACCCACTGGATAAGGAAGCACAGACAGAGCTCCAGGAGCAAGAACTGGATGTTCCTAATTCCAGTTCTGGAGTCAGGGCGCCTGCAGATAGGTGTGGTGAAGCTGAGCACTGCCACACCTAGGGCCACTCCTGGATCTGGCCCTCATTGCTCCGCGCACACGCACTGACAACAGCATGCCCTAGATTAGCCATACTTGCTTTCACATGGTGTAACTGAAAGGATTTTAAAATTATAGTGTTTTTCTTCACCCATGCTGTTTGCTTGCTTATTTACTAGAATCAGACTGGAAAATTAGAGCAGTCAGGCAACTTTTTTTTTTTCTTTAGCTTTTTAGATGCCTATGCACTAGCAAAATACCATGATAGTCAGAATGTATAGTTTTACAGAAGTTATATATTATTGTGTCTGTATGTGTATTTACATGTTTCAAATGGCTTCCCTTTTAATAAAAACCTTTAATAAAACAGAAACTTTTTCAACAGTTTTAGATTATTACGAGAGTTTTCCCTTTATCTAAACTCAGAAGCCAGAGCAATTTTCAGTACTAAACAGGCTAAATTCTCTACCAAACTCCCTGTCTCCTGGTTATTGCAGTTTACAATATATTTGAGTGTGTCATATTTGAACTGTGTCCTGATTCTGCCAACACCTAAATGCATACTTAAGACTAAGAATGTACCTTTAATGCATTAAGACATGTGCATCAGGATGCATGCCCGCTTAATGGCTGCAACACACTATTTCTGCAGCAAGTAATGGTAGCAGACCAAGTTACTTGGGTCAAGGATCAGGCCCCCAACTACAGTGCTGGACATGGCAGGAGGTGAGTACAAATTTTTGTTTTTTCAGAATCCTAATTACCTGATCACTAATCAAATTGTGACAGTCTATATAAATGTCACAAGCAGAGGTTAAAAGTTTTAACTTTGATAAAAATGTTTTATCAGAATGACCATGATGGTATTTTTTATGATAATCTGTGCTGCGAAGTCAGAGTTCTAAATGAAACAACTGTACTGTAGGTAAACGTACTTATTTTGTTCCCAGAACTTTATTCCTTACATTATCTTCTAGGTAAGAAGATACAAAGTTCACAATTCATAGAGATTTTAAATAGCTATCTAGCACACCATTACCTGACATTCTTTAGATTATTACGCTGTAGTCATTTCTCTGTTTGGGACATAGAAGCTAACTAAAAACATGACATACAAGCTGCACAAAACTCAGTGAAACTATGCAATGCAAATGTCTTCCACATGAGGGAAGAGGTGGCCTCCTTTACTCTTACAGTGTCTTTTATATTTTTCGCGGGACCTAAGTGAATGGTGGAAAAGCAGAGTAAGGAGGAGGCATACTCTACCCTCATAAATATTTGCTTTTTATCGATCCGTTGTCCTGCTTTGAGACTGTCATTATAACCGGAGTTATTTTAAGAAAAAGAAGACCCTGCTCAAATGACAGCAGAGCGATCAAGAAAAAGTCAGTCATGCACCGGGTGAACTCTGGGTTTCACGGTCCTCGTAGCCCGGGGTTTACCCGTCTCTTTTCTCCTGCGCACCTTTCCTGAGAGGACCCCGACTTCTCCCTGCCAAATTCCGCCCGAGCATCCCGCTCCGCAGAGGAGCATCACATCCCTCCGTCCGCCCCGCGCCCCCCGCGCCGGGCACGGACCGCCCCGGCGCGGCTCTGCGCGCCGGCCCCGGGAGCGGCGGCCCGGCCAGGTACCGGCACGGAGGGAGGGTCACCCACGCCCCGCTCACCGATCTTGGCGAGGGACGCCAGCAGGATCCAGAGGGTGATCTCGAAGGGGATTTGCACGTGGGGGTAGTCCAGGGTGAAGACGTGGAGCCGCGTCTCCTCGAAAGCGGTGCCGCTGGGGCTCGGAGGGGTGCCGGTGCCCATCGCCGCGGCGCCGGGCAGCTGCCCTTCCGAGGTGGCCCGCGCCTCCGCCGCGCCGGCCGCCAGCGCCGCCAGCAGCGGCAGCAGCGCGGGCACGGGCACGGGCAGGGGCACGGGCAGCAGAGGCGCGGCGGGGCGCGGGGGGCCGCGGCCGCCCATGGCGTCCCCGCTGCGCTGCCCTACAGCCCCGCGCCGGCCGCCGCCACCATCCCCGCGCCGCGGGCACCTGCCGCCGCCGCGGCCCCGCCGGCCCCGCCTCCTCCCCGCTGACTGGGCGAGTCCCGGCCGGCGCCGCCAGCCGCCCGCGGCGCTCCGCTTCCCCGGGCCGCCCCCGGGGCCGCCCCCGCGGGGCCGAGCTGCGGGCCGGCCCTGCCGCGGCCGCCCCCGCCGCCCCCGGGTCCGGCCGCCCGCGGGGCAGCGCCCGGGCGGGACCCGCTCCTGTGTGCCGCGTCCCGGCCGCCGCCAGGCGCTGCGGCGGGAGCGCTCGGGGACCCCGGCAGCAGCTCCTGCGCCCAGCACCTGCGGGGATGAACCGGGCTGCACAGGTGTAGGCAGAGCCGGGGGATGTTCCTTTAACTGCAGATTACTCTAAGAGATATACGTATGCAGTCATAGAAATACATACACAGTTATATAATCTAAAGTGTTAACACACTCTATATGGATACGCCTGTGGATACATATATAGTCTTTAAATACATCTATTTGAAAGCCATTTAGGGAGTTTATGTGTATGCATGAACATCTGTACACGTACGTGTAAATGTGTGTTTATATGTATACATGCATATGAATATATATATATATGTAATATTTACATATGTTTATGTGTATAAGCATATGTATTTTGCCATTACCAAATGCAGAAAATGTGCCTCTACCACGTATATGAAAGATAGCATTCTGTTCAGAATTACTAATTAAAACTCTGTTAATTTGGAGACTTAAAAAAATGCACACTGTATACATATATGTATGTAGGTTCATATACATACGTATATGCCTGATATAGAATATAATTATTTTCTAAAATAGTATGTAGCATATTGTCTATATGTTTCTACTTCTCACACAATAGGCACAATCTGATTTCTGTTAATTAAGAGATATACATTCTGTTAATTCAGGCAGTTAAAATTACACACTGTATAAGAATGTATGATTGCTCATACATGAGTATATAAATATATGTGTATATAAATATGTGTATATAAATATATGTATAAATATGTCTATGTAAATATACGACTGATAATATATTTATGGGTGTGTCAGTGTGTGTTGTAAATATTGAATATGTGATTGGCAAAATACTGTTTCTAAAGGCACTGCAATTTGATTCCATCAGATACTGCTGAGCACCAAGCTTCTGTATTTCCTGAAAGAACGGAATCTCACCCGTAATTTACTCATGACTTCACCACTTATGAGTAAGACAGTATTCCAAAGCTCAAACTCATAAAATCTTTAGAGCACACCATTCTGCATGCCTTTATTGGAAACAAAGCATGTCTTTCTTGGCTTCCAATGAAACTAAAACAGGAAGTAAGAGTTAATTTTTCCACAAATTTATCAGTGGCTACTGTTTCTGTAGGCTGTTAAAGTTCAATTAGCTGAATATCTGTAATTGTCATTTACTTTCAGAACCTTACTTTCAGAAAAAAGGGCACTAAGCCTGTGGTTTTAATCACAAATTTTAAGACGTGATATTAATAAAAATTGTTCTTTATTTATGTACAATTCAGTCAGGAAAGCATGTTTTGATATCAAACCAGTATATACACCAGCTAACTCTCTAGCTTGATGCAATATCTTCATATCTTCTTTTATTTGTTTTATTAGATTCTCTAATATGAGTAACACATAAATATTGCCAATTCTGAGGACATTTCCTTTATATGAAAAAGGAATAAAAGAAGAAAATGGTATTTTATTTATAAATCTCCTTGTCCCAGTCAGACCATCCACAGGAAGAGAAGTCTAACCCTCAGGTGAAGGTGATAACACTATTTATTATAAATAATAAATTTAATTCAGTCTAAAATAACAAGATCTGTAATGGTACTCACATGTCTCATTTTATGACCTTTTCTGTAGAGGAAGAAAACCTTTCTGAAAAAATACTTTTATGAAAGCATCAATACCTGGTCTCCTAGGAGAGATCACTTCTAGTTATCTACCTGCAGGGTTCTGAACTGAGACTTTTCTTTAGTGCTGGCAAGACCAACCTGTCCCATCAACCCTTTTCTCTAATATCACCTCATAATTCTGATCTATGCTGGAATTCATAACCCCATCCAATAACACAGCCAAATTACACAGTAGAGCAGGGAACTGAGCCACTGTGCAACAGCCCTGCAGGTGCACCAGCTGCCGTTTGGAAATTTGGAATATTAGAAATTTGTGAATGACTTGAGGAATTTCACTTTTCCATAAGGGGGGCAGGAAGACTATGAGTGGGAAAAGACTGAGTCATACAAAAGTGGAGGAAGGTCCCTTCTCATGGGAAATGTTCCTCATTGCTGCCCTGCTCATTACAGGCAGTGAGGGATGACAGAACACGGCTGCTGCATGCTGGCAGAGACAGAGAGATGCTTCAGCACCCAGGTCATATGCCTTTACTCACAAAGTTTCACTCACACACAGGAAAATGGACCTTTCCTTGGGGCATTATCCAGATATTTGCCATTATTTGTCCTCTTAGTCTCCTCAACTCCAAAAATAAAAGGGTGTAGAAAGCAGAAATCCTTCTAGCTCTGACACTGCTGTGGATCTGGTTAATAGGCTTTCTTTTTATATTAAGAAAATGAAAAGTTGGTAAAAGCGAATAAAAAAAAAAATGAGGGAAAGATGTCATTAATCTTGAGCCAGTAATAAAAAGGGAAATAATGCACTGGCACAGACCCCAAGACACTGAGACAATAAAAAAATGGGAATAGAGATTAATTATTAGAGATGATAGTCTATTATTAAACCAAAGTGATATATTTTATGGATGGATTGTATAAAGGAGAATATCCACCTTTTGAACAGGAATTGCCTTTAGAGAATAGAACAGTGCAGCATGGGAATGGACCCTATTTGACTTTGGACCTAGCTGAAATGGTTGCAGTGAAGCTCAGCATGGTATGAGATACTGAAGCACTTGTGAAAATTCTGTCAATATTTTCACACATGCCGCTTTTCATTGCCACCAGCCCTGGTCCCACAGGTGCTGAGGGTTTCACCATGGGTTGAAGGTCTTTGAATCCAGGCAAAGCTTTGCCTCAGACAGCAGAATGGGGTATGGTATTCCTATTACCTCTGCCTCACCTAGGTACGCTGTATGAGACAACAGCAACAGCCTCACTTCCCTCCGCTGCCCTTCACACTGTGCCCAGCCTTGCAGGTTCTCCTGAAACCATGGCTGGGGCCCTCTCCATACCGAGAAAAACATCCCTGAGCTCCAGTGCTGCCCAAGGAGGGAAGGGAGGGGGCTCAGGGAGAGCTATAGAGGAGATGTGAAGGTGTGTTCCTGGCGCCGCGGTGTCTCGTCATGGCTCTGCGCCTGACAGCTCAATGCATCTGCTTCCACTTCAGAACAATTTTATGTCAGGTCGCTGCGCACCATTTCAGTGATAGCACAAACAGAAAGCACGTACGCCGCACTTGGCTGATTCCAGGCGATCCATAGAGGAGCTTCCCGCAGTGCCCCCAGCGCTGCCCCGCTGCTCGCGCTGTGCCGCGCCATCTGCGCCCGCTGTGCTTTCATCTCTTTAATTCTGCTCGCAGGCATTGTCTGTTTTACCAGATACGGGGCTAACAGCATTTCACGTGACAAAGTGCATGTTATTTCATACATTAAGATGCTAACTCACATGATTCAGTTTGTTTACCTTCTAATCCTTTTATTGATTATTACTGGAAAGTGCTACCAGAGCAAGGGGCTGCCCAGGGTACCCACAGGGTGTTGTTTGGGAAAAGCAGATACAGTGCACAGGTTTGCAGTAGCTTGAGTGGTTCATACAGGTGTTAGGACAGTTTAGTTTTACTTTGGTTGAAGTAGGTATTGGGACTTTCTCATTGTAAGCATGGCATTGAGTTAGGGGGTTGTACGTTGTCTGTGTTTATTTATCCAGCTTTATCTTTTTAGTAGAAAAGATCAGTCTATTGCTATTATAAAAACTTTGCTTTCACAATGAAAAGCAAAATAAGTAATTTGAAAAAAAATGGGAATTTTCACTGTATCATAAATTTAGCTCTGTATTTTAGGGATACCCTAAAAATTATGAAGTCATATTTAACTTGGTGTTCTGACCTGTCTTGGTCATCATAGAAGCATTCTGGAATGTTAATGTGACTATTTCAGTAACTGGATCCCCTAAAAGAAATGTTATAGGTTTTCTATCAAAACAGTTGGAAGGGAAAATAATAAATATCTCTCCATAATTTTCATTGCTGTTCTAGTTTGACAGATAATTTCAGCAGATAAAATAAAACAGTTATATTCTATTGCTGATGTTTTATTTTGATGGAAATTAACCCTGTGCAGAGATTTTTACTCTTGTGTACTTCTTGAATTTTCCTTGACACAGTCCATATAGCAGTATTGTAAAATCTGTGCTCCTTGTTCAGAAGAAAAGTATAAATTTCACCATTCTTCCTAGTAAGCTCTCCAAATCAGCCAAAGACTTTTTCCAGTTTTCCCCAAAAGCATTTTCCCCTAGTGCATAGGAAAAAACCACAGAACACCTTTCTGAAATGCCTTAGTGTGTTACTAAAATTTGAAAAAAAATCTAGTGTTTCTATTAGAAAAAGGAAGGAAGTTTCTGGGCTATATCAGGCAAAGAGACGGCTTGTCTGCAGCTGTATGGGAATCACAATTACACAAAGAAAGCCTGTGCCTGTAGTGCATGCAACCATGATGTTTCTGGCGTTAAGTGAAAACATACACAAAAGAGGGGACATAGATTTTTTTAAAATTATTATTACTTGTTTAGAAGCAGCCTCATTGAAGATTTAAGGATTATAAAATACAAACATGCTTAACTGAGAGTGTTTTTATCTGGGAGTGGGGGCTGGTCACTCACCTACATGCATTATGTTAACAATCATTTCTCAAAACCTATTCCATTAAAGGTTAGATCTTTTTATAAGGGCTGTGTCATCAGGGCCTTTACTGAATAACTCTGCCTCTAAATTCATTAATTAGTGAATTAATGTCTCAACTGTTTTTCCATAGACTTTCCAGGACTTCTTAGTAACCATCCCCATA